ATCAAGCAGTCGTTCATGCTTCCGGGCTCACTACAGCAAAATGGGGTTGCTGAGCGCCGCATTGGCTTAGTCATGGAGGTCGCTCGTACCTCCTTGATTCATGCGGCGATTCCCCATTTTCTAAGGTCATTTGCGGTCCGGTACGTCGCGCAGTAGCTCAACCTCTGGCCCCGTGTCTCCTTGCCGGAGACCTCACCCACACTGCGTTGGACGGGGGAGGTTGGCGATGCGTCGCGTTTCCGGGTCTGGGGTGCTCGTGCCCTTGTCCGCGATACGTCCGCGGACAAGCTCTCCTCGCGTACCATTCCATGTGTCTTCCTTGGCTTTGTCCCTGACGCGCCTGGCTGGCAGTTTTACCACCCCACCTCGCGCCGTGACTTCCCCTCTTAGGACGTCACCTTTGACGAGTCGGTTCCTTTCTACCGTCTCTTCCCCTACCGCACTGCCCCTCTCCCTCCCCCGCCGCTTTTCCTCGCTCCAGGTCCCCCTCCGGTAGACCCCCTCCCCCCTCAGGGTCCTGCTCCTTCAGGTGTGTCTCAAGTAGACCCGCCCCTTGGGCTGAGCCTGTAGAGGTCACTAGCGACTCAGTTGCTGCTGCGGGAGGTGCTGCTGGGGGTGCTGCTGGGGGTGCTGCTTTTGAGGGTGCTGAGCCTGCGCGTGAGGTGCTGGGGAGTGCGGAGCCTATGGGTGTTGAGCCTGCAGCTGCGGAGTCTGGGGGTGCTGAGCCCATCCGTGAGGTGCCGGGGGGTGTGGAGCCTGGGGGTGCTGAGTCTGCTGGCGTTCCTCTGGGTCTCGTTTCACTACGCGGGCCTGTCTCACCACAGCAGGCACGAGAGTGGCTTGCGTCGCGTACCCGCCTGAGGAGTCGTGCTGGTGGATTTGCTTGTCGTGGAGGCGCTGGGGGTGCTGGTGTCTCTTGTTCTGGAGGTGCTTGTACTAGAGGTACTGGAGCTGCCGGGACTAGTGCAGCTCCTGGAGCTGGAGGTGTCGGTTTCGGGGGTGCTGCTGCTGGAGGTACTGGGGCTGGAGGCCCTGGAGCTGGTGCTGTCGACCCTGGAGTTGGAGACCCTGGAGTTGGAGACCCTGGAGCTGGAGGTGCCGGTTCTGGGGGTGCTGCTGCTGGAGGTACTGGGGCTGGAGGCCCTGGAGCTGGTCCTGTCGACCCTGGAGTTGGGGACCTTGAGGCTGGAGGTGCCGGTTCTGGGGGTGCTGCTACTGGTGGCGCTGGAGCTGGAGGTTCTGGAGCTGCTGGAGGCGCTGGAGCTGGAGGTACTGCTGCTGCAGTCCCTGGAGCTGGAGGTGTTGCTGCTGGAGGCGCTGGAGCTGGAGGTGCTGCTGCTGGAGTCGCTGGAGCTGGAGGTTCTGGAGCTGCTGGAGGCGCTGGAGCTACTGTTACTGGTGGCACTGCACCGTCGCGACTGTTTGTCGCTCCGCCGTCACCGTCGTCTCTGCCACCGCCTGACTCCGTCCTTCGCCAGGTTCTTAGCCTCCTGTCTTCCACTGGCCTCCCGTTACAGCCCGGCGCACCACTGCCTGCTCCTTCTCCTTACACTGAGCAGACAGAATCGCCTACAGAGCGTCGTGAGCCTTCGTCTCGTCCTGCCTCGCCTGTTTGCGCTGGTCGCACTGGTCGTCGTGTTCCTCGTGAGCGTCCGCCTCCTGACCCTGGCACGCACGCTATGGCACTTTGTCCTTCCTTTGTTCCACAGCGTGTTCCCCTACCGTCTCCTCCTGCGTCTTCTCTGCCTGACGTTCAAGACCCTGAGTCTGACCTGGTTCGTGCTGCTCACCCTACTGTCACGCGTCTGCTCGCCACTGTTGTCACTGACCCGTCGTTTGAGTCTGCTGCTGCGTCTGCCTTAGTCTTTGAGCTTGTTGACTTTGCTGCTGCCTGTCGTCTAGACTACGCTGCTAGTCTTGTTGCTGAGTCTGAGTCCGTCTGTCCTCCGTCCGTCGGGGGTGAGTGTGCTCTTGGCACGGACGTCCTTAAGGACAGGCATGAGGACTTTGAGTATCTTGCAACCGCTGCGCCTCATCTCGTGGCCATGTTGCTTGCCATGAGGGAGACCCGGATGCACCAGACATTCCGACTTCGCGTTCTTACGCTGAGGCGATCGCGGGTCCCTACTCCTCTTAGTGGCAGACAGCCATGGACGCAAAGATGGCATCCTGGAAGTCCACAGGCACTTACGTCGATGAGGTTCCCCCTCCTGGGGCGAACATCGTCGATGGCATGTGGATTTTCAGGGTGAAGCGGCCGCCGGGTTCTCCGCCTGTATTCAAGGCTCGTTATGTTGCACGAGGCTCCAGTCAGCGACAAGGAGTTGACTTCTTCCAAACCTTCTCCCCTAGCCCGAAGATGACCACTCTTCGGGTGCTGCTACACGTTGCCGCTCAGCGTGATTACGAGCTTCACTCTCTGGACTTCAGCACAGCGTTCTTACAGGGCAGTCTGCATGAGGAGATCTGGCTGCGCCGCCCACCTGGCTTCACTGGGTCGTTCCCTCCTGATACCCAGTGGAGCCTCTATCGGCCAGTCTACGGTCTCCGTCAGGTGTCTTGTGAGTGGCACGACACACTGAGGACGACACTTGCGGCTCTTGGGTTTGCACTTTCCACTGCTGACCCGTCGCTGTTTCTACGCACCGACACTTCACTGCCGCCGTTCTACATCCTCGTGTACGTCGACGACTTGGTCTTTGCCACTGCTGACACTGAGGCTCTCGCCCTTGTGAAGTCGGAGCTGCAGAAGAGACACACGTGCACAGACCTGGGTGAGCTGCGCGGTTACCTTGGCTTGCAGATCACCCGGGACAGAGCACGCCGCACCACCACCCTGACTCAGTCACACATGGTGCAGCACGTCCTTCAGAGCTTCAGCTTCACTTGGTTCTCGCCACAGTCCACTCCTCTGGATACAGGTCACTCACTCTCAGCTCCACCTTTAGACGAGTCCGTAGAGCCGAGTGGCCCGTACCCAGAGCAAATGGGCTTCCTCATGTACCTGATGACCTGCAATCATCCTGACCTTGCGTGCCCTCTTGGCCTTCTGCCACGCAATGTGGCTCGTGGTAGGCACCGAAAGGTGCAGATGGATGCTGCGAAGAGGGTACTCCGCTACTTGTGCAATACATCGGGCATTGGGCTCGTGCTTGGAGGCGGAGCTCAGTTGTCCTCACTGGGCATTCAGACGTTTCTTGGGTTGACGACCAGGCTACGCAGCAGTCGTCACAGGGTTACACTTTCAGCCTTGGCTGCGGCTCTGTTTCTTGGCGATCTACCGCTCGTCTTTTGTTCTCAGCTCCAGTTGTGAGGCTGAGATCTACGCCACAGCCATGGATGCACAGGAGTTACGCTGGCTCACCTACGTGCTGACTGACTTGGGAGAGCGGCCTCGTTCTCCTCCAGTTCTGTACGTAGACATAAAGGCCGCCATTGCCTTGTGTGAGGAGCACAGACTGGAGCACAGAACGAAGCACATCGCTCTGCGTTACTTCCTAGCTCAAGAGTTGCAGCAGGGTGGTCAGCTTCGTTTTGCTCACGTCGGCACTCGGGCCAACACTGCTCATATATTTACCAAGGCACTTCCGTCTGGTGATCATCAGCGCTTCTGTACTATGTTAGGTTTTGTGCCTGTTTCGTCTCACTTGCTCACTTCATGACTTTGCTTGTACTGTGATCGATATATATACCTGCATGCTTGCTCTTGCTAGGTAGTGATCACTGTACTGTTGTTGTTGCATGTATACCTCTGCATGTGACCTGGCCTTGTGGCCCTTTGCTTGTGCTCGAGTGTGTGGTGACATTGTGATCCACCCCGAGCTTGCTTTGCTTTTCTTGACTGGTCTTGTGACCCCTTGTTCTCCCCACTTTGCCTATAGGGGTGTGTCAAACTGTCTATGTGTTAGTTCTGTGTAGGCTATAGTGGGGTAGCCCATATGGGGTACAACCCAAAGTTAAGGTTAGTACTTGTACCCACATTTCATTCAATGCAATCATCCCTGCTTGCTATCTTGACACCTCCTGCACTCCTGGCAGCACCTCCACCAGCAGCAGCAGTAGCACGAGCAGCAGGGTGGATCAGGTTGGGCAGGGCAACTCGGGCTGGGCGGCGCGGGCAGCAGGGCGCGCGCTGTGCAGGGCAGCAGGGCGCGACGCGCAGGGCAGCAGGGCGCGACGCGCGGGCTGCAGCAGGGCGTGACGCGCGGGCTGCAGCAGGGCGCGATGCGCTGGCTGCAGCAGGGCACGACGCGCGGGGCAGCAGAGCGCGACGCGTGGGCTGCCGTAGGGCGCGACGCGCAGGGCAGCAGGGCGCGACGTGCAGGCTGCAGCAGGGCGCGACACGCAGGGCAGCAGGGCGCAAGCTGAAGCAGGACGCGGGGCAGGGCAGGGCGTGCGCGAGGCAGCGCGACGCGGGGCAGGGCAGGGCGTGCGCGGGGCAGAGCAGGGCGTACGCGGGGGAGCGCGACGCGGGGCAGAGCAGGGCGTGCGCGGGGGAGCTCGACGCAAGGCAGGGCAGGGCAGGGCCCGCGCTGACGGCGCAGCGCAGGGTAGGGCGTGGGGTAATGCGGTAACAGCAGTTGGTCACTAGGTAATGGTGGGTCTGAAAAATAACTGTCCTACGGACCTACTGCTCTTAAACCATGTCAAAAACTAATGAGCAGGATTGGTTGCATTGACATCAAACTGAGTACAAGTATAGCCTAAATTGGGTTGTACCCCATATAAGCTACACCCCTACAGCCTACACAACATAAGTAGCATTGTAGTTTGACATAACTTTCTCATTAACAGTCAGGGCAAGGAACCACCCACTTAGTTTGATGCCTTGCCATTCCTCGCACGTACCGTTGGTTGCAAACATTACCCTAACTCCGGCCCTCTCATTCAGCATCAGGGCTAGAAAGGAACTAAGCTGACAATCCAGATGCATTTCTTTCCACCTCACCCACCACTCTTGGGAGAAAAGGCCAGCCTCTCAAAAGCAAACAAGCTGCTCCTCACAGGTATCGCATCCGCTGCTCATCCACCAGCCCCCCAGCTCGTTTTCCCCAGCGATTCCTCCCACCTTCGGCCTGCTAACCCTGAGACAGCTAGAATTGACACGCACATCTCACTACACCTCAACTCCTGCCTGCCCCCTCACTCAGCGCCAGGGCTGGGGGAACCAAGCTGAACCATCCAGAAGCCCTTTTCTGCGCCTCAAACGTACTCTTGGTAGCAAATGGCAGCCTCTCAAAAGCGAGCACTCTGCTCCTCTCAGGAATCACATCTGCAGCACCAACAACCCCCCTTCTCGCCTTCCCCAGCTATTCCACCCCCGTTCCCCCACCTGGCCTGCTGAACCTGATACCGCTAGACTCGATAGGCAGCTCTCACTACCTCATTCGACGTCAGGGCTGGGAACAAGGCTGAACCATCCAGCCGCCTTCTTCTGTGCCTCACCCGTACTCTTGGGAGCAAAGGGCAGCCTCTCAAAAGCAAGCACGCTGGTCCTCTCAGGAATAGCGTCCGCTCCACCAACCCCCCTTCTCGCTCTCCCCAACAATTTCCCCTCCCCTTGACCTGATAAGCCTGATTCAGCTAGGCTTGATAAGCAGCTTTCACTGGAAGACCGATGCATAAGGGAGGACTGTTTCTTTCTAGGAGACTGAATCACTCGATCTAAGGGCCTCTGGGACTTGAGCGGGAGAGCAGGCGATGGGGATTCTTGACCGGGTGTAAAAGACAGCCCAGAAAAGGATAAATCAGGGTATGAATCCACCCGGCGGTGGAAACTCCCCACGAATTTGTCTGGCTGGATGGGACTGTGAAAGCGCTGTGGTATAGAGTGGTCTGAAGGAGTCGGTATGAAGTGTTTAGAGGTGGGATGGTTGTGGCTGGGTTGGGTGTAGCTGGGTGAAATGCGGTTCAGATTGTAACTGGGTGGGTTGTAGCTGAAAAGGTTGTTACCGGCTTGGCTGTAGCCTCCATCATTCCAGGGCTGGAAGTCGGGAAAAGATTCCACTTTCCTAAACCCTGGAAATCCAGAGGTTCGGAGCGGTGAAGGGGAGTGCAGAGCAGCAGTGTGCGCCAGCGACAGCAGGTTCGACACCGAACCTATTTTCCGCATGATGCTTGCTGTTGTATCATGGTGGTGGTGCGGTGAAGAGAAAAGCGGCTCCAGCGTACCTGCTTTCATCCCTGGTTTCATCCCTTGCAGAAATTCCATACTGCTGGAGCGGTCCAGTGTGCAGTTGCTGAGAAGCTTTCCGGAAATAAACGAAGCTTTGAGGGACACAGCTGCGTCGTCGTGAGAGATAGAGTCTAAGCCGAGCTTCCCAGAACTGACAGCTGACTTGAGTGCGTCAGCTGGATACGATACATCCTCATCAGCTGGATAAGCCGGGTAAGCATCAGCATCTCCAAGCTTGGCTGCACCAGCCCTTGCAGTACGAGACACCGCAATGCCAGCACCATTTGCGGCTCTGCCAGTCTTTCCAGCAAGCAGGGATGCTTTGAATGAGAGCATGGGGTCGTGAGAGACTGGGTCGGCGGCCGTAGCTGCGGTACGCTCAGTGGTGGTCGAGGGCTTGTATTGAACCCCTGGTGTCGCGTGGCTGGAGTGGCGTGGCATAGGCTCTGCTGCTGCTGCTGCTGCTGCTGCTTCAGCTGCCGCTGGATTGGCTCTGCTAGCAGCAGTGCTATCGCTCAGCTGCTGACACAGCAGAGCCACCTCAAGGATCCCGTAAGGTGAAGGGGAAGCAGGGGCAGCGTTTACAGCTGTGGCAGCAGCTTCAAAGTGACTTGCATGGCCTGTCGTCAAGCTTGCTTCGTAAGAAGGGCTAGACGGGCTCGGAATGTAAGAGGAGTTTGATATGTTTGAAACTGTGCCTGCCTTATCTCCACCCGCTGTAGCTGCTACTTTGGCTGTTGCCGCAGCACCAGCTGCAGCCGCCACCGCCGCCGCCGCCGCCGCCGCCGCCGCTGCTGTTGCCGCTGTTTTCGTTGCAACACCACCCCCTGAGGCAGCAACGCCCAAGTTCGGACGGAACTGGGAGTTCTCCCAAGCCTGCCAGCTGGCTGTAGCAGCAGTGATGGCAGCTGCTACAGCCTGGCAGCGGATACGCTGCAGCTGTGAGTGCCAGTCGGAGTGGGAGGAGGCGAGGGCGCGGCGAGAGGCTTCTGCTGATGCGGTGGCTGCTGCAAGAGAGATGGATTGGGAGCAGAGGGATTGCTGGGAGGGGAGAGAAGGTGGGATTGGGGAGGGTTGGGGAAGGGATTTTCTTTTTAAAGTTTAGTGAATATGCTGATGCAGTGGCTGCTGCAAGAAAGAGATGGATCGGGATCAGAGGAATTGATGGGCAGGGGGAAGGTGGGATTGGGGAGGGGGAGGGGGGGGTTGAGGAGAAGGCAGGAGCGGGAAGGAGGGAGGGAGGGATGAAATGAGGAGGAAGGAGGGAGGAGGGATGAAATGAGGAGGAAGGAGGGAGGAGGGAGGCAGTGAGGGAGGGAGAGAGAGAGATAGAGAGCAAGGTAGGATGGGAGGGTGAAAAAGAGTAAGGAAAGAGAGAAGAATGGGGAGAGGAAGAGAGGAATTAGATGAAAGGGGACGAGAAGGCAGTGGGAGGGGGACACGAATACAAAGCACAAGAAGCAAGAGAAAAAGGAAGGATGAAAGAAAGAAAGAACGAAAGAAAGAAGGAAAAACAAGCAAACAAACAAACCAGAAGTCAAGCTGACAAGGAGATCTGGAAGAACAATAATGCCCAAGAACAAAAGCAAGCGATGGTTGAAAAACGCATGATTCAAATCAGGTTTCGAGAATAACAATGAAAGCACAGCATCTCCTTCTAACCATCTCCATCTACCCAAACACCTCCACACCACATGCGCCTATCCGACAATACGACCCGATCGGCCTGGATCCATCCTTTTGAGTGATAAGGCATGGCAAGACAGCATGCGGGACGCTAAAAACTGCGAGAATATGTTGTCTTGTCGAGCAAGCGATTGCTCTGCAAGGTAACACTTGCGGGAGTCTCTTGCTGCAGTCCTCACTCTCAGCACGAAGGCTGCAGAAAGGACACAGTGCACGACACAAAAAAAGGGAAAAATGCAGGAAGGACAAAAAAAAAAAAGGGGGACTCAGAACCGGGAATACAGTCTAAAAAAGTTTTGTGTTTTCGCAGTTTCGATATTCGCCAAACTTATTTCTACCCTAACCGATCAGTACCGCACACACTAACCAGACTGCACAACCAAAGGTCTCAAACTTCAAGAGCGGGAGAGGGGAGGGAGGACTGAGCAAGAGGGGGCGGGCAGGAAAAAGTCCATCTTCTCACCTGCAGAACCTGGATCTGCGATTTGTCCCGAGCGCTTATTATCTCAGCGGCTTTACGTCCACTAATCAGCTGCTGTTCCAGCTGTGCTGCTCTCGCCCTCTCTGCTGCAGCAGCCGCCCTGGCCGCATCTGCTGCAGCCCTGGCGGATCTCAGCTCTGCTTCCAGCTCGGCAACTCGCCTCGCAAGCTCGCCTGTGTTCTCCCCACAGTGATGGCTCTGCTTGCACGCACATCCATTGGAACCGCTGTGCACCGCACTGGGAGTAGGCGAGCCAGTGGACGAAGCAGGGTTGCTGCCAGGGCCAGGAGTTGGAGTTGGGGCCGAATGGACGGTGGGAGATGGAGTTGCAGCCAAAGGGACGGTAGGAGATGTAGCTGAAGCAGCCTGCCCCCCCACAAGGGCGCGGATCCAAGGCGACGCTCCTGCATGCGCTGCTGCTGGAGCAGGTGCTGCTGCTGCTGCTACTGCTGCTGCTGCTGGAGGCGAAACCTTCTGCTGTGCCTGCTGCGGTTGTCGCTGCTGCTGCGGCTGGGCGGCAGCAGATACTGGAGCTTTGACTGCCTTGGTCAGGGCGGTTTTGCTCTTTGACTGCTGCTGCTGCTGCTGTGTGAGGCTCGGTGAAGCAGCAGGGGGGCTCTTCTTCTGTGCGGCCCTTGCAGCATAAGAGGCATTCGCAGGGCCTTCACTCTTCTTAAGCAGTGCTGCTGTTGAATCTGATGCTGTTGCCTCGCCTGCAGCCTTCCTGCTGTAGCTCCCCCCAGACAGCCACCCGCTCACTTCACTCACTCTGTTTGGCGCCTTCTCACCGCTCCCAACTGGAATAAACCCATCATTACCATCCGCAACCCCAGCACCAGACCCAACCCCGCCACTAACCCTGCCACCACTCCCACCAGAGCCCTTCTTGCTAGCAGCCGCCATGATCTCAAAAATATCCTCTGTGTCATACTCACTCTCCTCATCCTCCCCCTCCCCTTCCCCCTCCTCGTCTTCCGCAGTGCTCATACCAGAGCTATCAGTGGTCTGACCAAAGTCCATAACCGAACTCACAGGGGACATACTAGGTCGGCTAGATGACTCTGGGGTCTTCACCACCAGATTCTGCACATCGCCCACCAAACCTGCTGAATCCACCGGACCTGCTGCCGAGCCTGCCGCCGAGCCTGGCCCTTCTGCCAGCCCCTGCAGTTTGCTGGTCAGGGAGGCGATTCCCTTGGGGGTTCGGCTCCGGCCTTTCCCCGCCTCCTTTTTGTCCTTGCCGCTCTTGGCGCCTGCTGCTGCGGGTGCGTTAGGCTTGGAGGATGCGGCATCAGAAGCATCATCAGCGAACAGCTCGAGGAGTTCCAGTTGCCGCCTCGCCACCTCCTCTTCCAACGCCGTCCATTTCTCCTCCTGCAGGCAACCATGCCCCATACACAGAGACACACACAGACGCATAGATGCATAGAACGACAGATGATTGGTTTGAGTTAGCTGGGTAGTTTTGAGGGGCCTCAGAAAGAGAGTTCCAGTTACGCCTCGCGACCTCCTCTTCCAGAGCCGTCCACTTCTCCTCCTGCACTCATTCCCGATGCTGCGATGCACACACACACACACACACACATGAGACGCAAACAGGCCATTGGTTGGGTTGGATGATAATAGTTCAACAGCCTCACTACTGCCTCCTAACGCGGTGTCCATGTCTAGGACAGCGGATCCACTCCAGAAGTAAGAGGGGAAAGAAACCAGCAAAAACAACGTCGATTACTCGCGGGAGAGTGCTGCAGGATCAACAACACGAATCCCAGCAGGGACAAAGATCCTTTGGGTGTTGTTTGAGTCAGCTCACAATCAAGACTGCACAGCTGGATAACCCCTCACAACGATCGCAGCAAAAGAGAAGAGGCCTTGGATGTCGTTTGAGTTGTCTCAAAATTAAGACTGCACAACAGGATCAACCAGCCACTCACCAGGATGGCAGCAGAGGCGGAACCCTTGGGTGCGTCCACGAGAGCCGTGCGGCAAAGAGCCGTTAGGTGACGTCTTCGTCAACTCACAACTGACACTGCACTGCTGGATCGCTCACAAGTGACACTGCACTGCTGGATCGCTCACAAGTGACACTGCACTGCTGGATCGCTCACAAGTGACACTGCACTGCTGGATCGCTCACAAGTGACACTGCACTGCTGGATCGCTCACAAGTGACACTGCACTGCTGGATCGCTCACAAGTGACACTGCACTGCTGGATCGCTCACAAGTGACACTGCACTGCTGGATCGCTCACAAGTGACACTGCACTGCTGGATCGCTCACAAGTGACACTGCACTGCTGGATCGCTCACAAGTGACACTGCACTGCTGGATCGCTCACAAGTGACACTGCACTGCTGGATCGCTCACAAGTGACACTGCACTGCTGGATCGCTCACAAGTGACACTGCACTGCTGGATCGCTCACAAGTGACACTGCACTGCTGGATCGCTCACAAGTGACACTGCACTGCTGGATCGCTCACAAGTGACACTGCACTGCTGGATCGCTCACAAGTGACACTGCACTGCTGGATCGCTCACTCACCAGGATGGCAGCAGACGCGGAGCCCTTGGGTGCGTCCATGAGAGCAGTGCGGCCCTTCTTGCACCTCTTAGTCATACTCGCACCCTTGGCACATAGCAGCTCACTGCAGACGGACACGAGTAGACGATAGAACATGCAAGAGCAAGGAGAGAAAAAAGGGTTTTGTTTGGTCATGCTCACGCCCTTGGCACACACCAGCTGATGGCAGTAGATTACAGCTCATGTCTGTGCCTACCTCCCCCTCGAACCTGCCAACTGGAGTCCCCCACAAGAGAGGCACTCACATGCAGTCTGCAGGATTGAGGCTAGCACCGTGGTGAAGTGCAGACAAGTTTTCGTTATCCACAGCACTGACGTCCGCCCCTCCCGCCAGAAGCGCCTTGTTTGGAAAAAGTGACTACATGACATCGGTCTATCGAGGATCCGGACTCACACGCAGTCAGCAGCATCAAGGCGAGCGCCGTGGTGCAAGGCAGACAAACCCTCCCCATCCACAGCACTGACATCTGCCCCTCCAGCCAGCAGCTCCTCTGTTGCCGGCAGTGAGTTGCGCCCCACTGCGTGCATCAGAGCCGTCTTGCCCTCTGACGTGCGTGCATTCACGTCCGCCCCCGCCTGCTCAAGAGGAGGGGAAGAGGGGCCAGGGCAGGGAGAGAAAGAGAGGTGATGACAAGTTGTTCTGTTGTTCTGCCACCCTTCACTGAGTCACTGGGTTGACTCCCTCCAGCCAGCAGCGCGCTGCTGGCAGTGAGTTGCGCCCCACTGCATGCATCAGCGCTGTCTTGCCCTCTGACGTGCGTGCGTTGGCGTCTGCTCCTGCCTGGTTGAGGGAAAAATGGGGGAAGGGGAGGGTGGGACGTGTTGACCAGAAGCTTATATATCCTCCCTCCTCTGTTGCCGGCAGTGAGTTGCGCCCCACTGCGTGCAACGCTGTCTTGCCCTCTGACGTTCGTGCATTGACATCCGCTCCTGCCTGCTTCTGAAAAAAGGAGGGGAGGGAAAAAAGGTACTGACTAACTGTTCGTTAGGGTGATTGACAGGTGCTCATCTCCACTTGCACGTGAATGCAGTGGTCTTTGAACCGCCTCAAGTCGATTTATTTCTCACAGCTCTGGCTCTCCAATGCCCCGCTTCCCACCCCCCCATACACTCCTGCCTACAAAGCCCGAACGTGTCGCTCACCTGGACGAGCAGGTGGATGCAGCAAGCATGGCGGCCATCAGCAGCAGAAATGAGGGGCGTCACGCCTCCATGCTGGCATTTTTTCTGTGTATCACAGGTCGCACTACTCCCAAAGCTCGTGCCCTTCAGTGCCCCTGGAATGCTCACCTGGACCAGCAGGTGGATGCAGCATGCGTGTCGGCCCTCCGCGGCAGCAATGAGGGGCGTCACGCCTCCATGCGACCGCGCGTCCACAGCAGCTCCGTGGCGTACAAGAGCTGATAAAGCCTCTTCATGACCGTTGTAGGCCTGTGAAAGGGGTGGGAGAGAAGAGAGTGACACATGACACGTTAGGCTTCAGAGGTGACTCAAAATCTACATCAGCAGCACCGTGGCGTACGAGCGCTGACAGAGCCTCCTCATACCCGTTGTACGCCTGTGAAATCAGCGAGAGAGTGAAACGGAGTGACATGTTAGAGAAGGTAGGCCTGAGACAGGGTTCAGAGGTCAGTGAATCAAAGCGGAGACAAGTATCAGAGTTGGCTTAAAAACTTTGCCAAGTACAGTAGACTTACAGCTGCAATAAGGGGAGTCACTCCCACTTTGTCCCGGGCATCAGGCTGAGCGCCAGCTTCAAGAAGTAGTTGCACGCAGCTGCACGAGACACACACGCAGAGGGGCACAGCGAGGGTGCAGTGGGGGAGGATCATGGGACATGCGGAGACGCACCACGGAGCAGCATTGTATGTTCGTTCACGGAGCATTGGGGGAGGTTGGAAGAGCAGTTGGGGAGAACTGGGAGCACCAGGGACGAATTGAGGAGGAACTGGTGGGAGCATTTGGAAAGCATTTTCAAGTCAGGTCCTTTCTGATCTTTTTCATAACTTGGTCAGGGAATTGTGCGTGTGAGTGCGTGTGTAAGTGTGTGTGTGCCTGTGTGTGTGTGTGTGTGTGTGTGTGTGTGTGTGTGTGTGCGTGCGTGTGTGTGTGTGCGTGCGTGTGTGTGTGTGTGTGCATATCTGTGTGTGTGTGTGCATATCTGTGTGTGTGTGTGTGTGTGTGTGTGTGTGTGTGTGTGTGTGTGTGTGTGTGTGTGTGTGTGAAGTCAGGCGCTTTCTTTTCTTTCGTGAATTACAACACAGCAAGCAGGTTCATAACATTCCCCGCAGTCCCTCTTACTTGGCGAAGCCACTGTCAGCCGCGGCCAGCAGGGGCGTCGCTCCCTCCCCGTCCACAACGTCAACGGACGCTCCAGATTTGAGCAGCGTCTCGGCGATGCTTACGTGGCCGTTTCGGCAGGCCGCTGGAAGATGACGAAAAGGAGGGCGAGTGGTTGAGGGATGAAAGAAGCGAGAGAGTCGTTGAGTCACGGAAGAGAAGAGTTAGGGGTTGAGGGAGTAATGCACCAAGACCAAAGGTCCAAGCACGAAGCTGCAAACGAGGGACTGGGTAATCCAAAACTGAAAGAAAATCTATGTCAAGCGAAACGCCATGATCATGGGCCAGAAGCTATAATAACAAAGGGCACCCCACTGCACCTGAGAAGGCGTTCGCGAGAGAAGCGGCACGCCCAGCGATCCATGTAACATCCGACCTCGCTTCCAATTTCACCAGCGCCTTCGCCACGCCGTCAGCCTCCCCCGCCTGCGCAGCAACCAGCAGCTCGTCCAACGGAGTCCCAACTGCCGGCCGCTTCGTCCCATCATCTGTAGCAGAACCGCCGCTGCTTTCCACCGAATTTCCACCAATCGCATTGTGCTGTCTCTCTTTCGCCGCCTGATGCTCTTTCCACTCAGCGCTGCCCAGGAGAGTGATTGTTGACTCCATGTCGCCGCGAGGGACGGAGGAGCCGTCGTGACGCATGCCAGTGTCTCGGATTTCCACGGCGAGTTCCCGCGGGGTGCGTCCGATCTTGTCTTTGACGAACGGGTTAGCTCCTGTGCGACACAATGGGTGTGTGTGCAAGTTCAGCAAAATTTGTTCCTCGTGTTTCCGTCACTGGGTGTGAAGGTTTGACAAGCACGTGTGGGTTCTGGCAGGAAAAGCTTGGGTTCGACAGAAAACGCAACTGATTGGGGGTTGAAAGGAGGGATCGACTGGAGGAAAGACTCACCTGCTTTGAGAAGGAGCTCGACTGATTGACTGCGACCGTAGCCGGCTGCCATGTGGAGAGGAGTGAACCCCTCGTTGTCCCGTACGTTGACCTCAGCGCCTGTACCAGCAAAACAAGTCAGTTGTTTCAGGACCTGTGATCGCCAAGTCCTTTATTTACAATTACCGCGTGCACTGCGCTGAGCAAGCAGGTGATTTTTTACCTGATTCTAGCAGCACAATGGCACATTCTGTAGATGCCATTCCGCAGGAGAAATGGAGCGCCGATCGGCCTTTGTCATCGGTCCCGTTGATGCTTGGTTGAACCAGAGGTGCAGTCTTGAGTGGTCTGGACTCCAGTGCAGAGACTGCCAGAATAAATAAACGCAGAGGTATGTTATTCTAGGTTTTGTCGCTGCTTTGAATTCTAGCTGACAATGCAGACTGGTTGGTGTTCAAATAAAGAAGAGTAACGCACCATTTCCGAGGCCAAGTGCTGGCGACATGACGCCTGAAGCTCTACCTCCAGACGGATTCTTGCTGCTCTGTTTCTTGATTTCTAGGATCGTTCGTCTCAGCTTGCGAATCTGCATCTTCTTCGCTGCTTCTATGAGGTTCGCTACGAGATCAGAACCATCCGTCTCTGGCTGTTGGGCCTTCTGTCGGACGACAACGGGCTTGAGAAGGGCACGGCCGTCCTTCGCGGTCTTCGCAGCCATGAAATCGGTCGACATTTAGAATTTAAAAGCTATCTGACGTCTTGGACGGCAACAGCCAATTCTTGCAATTCAGGAACCTCACGACCGGAACGAATGTAACACTAGACAAGTGCAATGCCTTCTGAACCAGCAGCAGTGCAAGCTGGTCCGCAAACTGGAAGCTGGTCAAGTCCGCTGAGGCACCATCAACAAACCTCAGCAGCTGAGGCGCTTCAGCAACACCAATCACCCTGACAACAAATCCAGGAATTTGAACGTCCTATACTGTTTCTGTCCGTTACTAGCAACCCTAATGAATCACTCTCTTCGCTCTGCTCTGTTCCTCGCTGCTATGCTGCTCCGTTCTCTTCTCCGTTCTTAGGAACTATTGCAATGCTCAGTTCTGATGCATTGCAATGAGCTGTCAAAAAAGACCCACTCCACAACATCAGCCTCAGAGTGAGGTGCTTTACCACACTGAAACACACTTGAACGTACCGAATTGTACTGCACCAGGTGTTAGAAGGGAATCATGGCTGTGCACATGAATGCGGGTGGGGTCATGGGTTGGATGGGATGAGATGCTTGCCCAAAGCCAGAAACTGGGGATCCAGGATTCTGGCTGTCAATGAGGCGTTGAATTCTTATCTGATTTGTCCAGGTAAGGGGAAAAATCCCCCTCGAGCTAATGGCACGCCACGTGGAATAGCATTGGTTTTGCTTTTACTGTTACTCATCCCACTTGGATGCGAGTGACGTGGTCGCTCCTCACCCAACGGCTCGGTGCCTGATTGGCGGAACGAAAACAGCACACCTTTGGACGAATTTGTTTGGAGACAGTCGAGCCTGAATTGGCGCGTGCGAAATTTCGCGTTGTGAGAGGCTGCGAGCAACCCACGGATTTCCGATGGCTTTTGAATCTTCCGGCCAATCGCAATCAAGTGGTACTTGAGACCGATCGACAGGTCAGCAAAAAGCGAGGGGGGGGAATCGAAATTGCGGGGGAGGGGGGAAACAAAATTGCGGGGGAGGGGGGAAACGAATTTCGACGGGGAGGGGGAAATGAAATTGCGGGGGCGTGGGGAAACGAAATTGCGGGGGAGGGGGGAAACGAATTTCGACTTGAAGGGGTTGAAAGCACACCTCGTAACCCACTCAGTCAAGGGATAACCTTTGATGCACATTCAGCTGAATGTGCACCCCGGTTTTAATGCGGTCTCTATAGGATTCCCGCAATCTGTTCTCTGTACAGTGAATAGTGGGTACTAAATGGTAACCTAAAATAACAAATCACAACGCAATGTTGTTACATAAGATATTGCTAATGGCTTCCTGTTAAACTAGTGAAGTATCCAGTCCAGTCCAATACCAAACACGATAAAAATAAGGTTTCACCAGTCACGGTCACACTCCCAGAAAGAGCCTACAGTTGTAGCGCCGACTCACTCTCCTGTTGCCCAAACAAGTTCCGAGCTGCACTCACCACCACTTGACCACTACGAGCTGACAGCGACGACAATGCTGCAGTGGCCTTCTGCCCCGGGCCCATGTTCAAAGGCACCGACGAAAACTCTGACGCGTTACCGTTACCATCTAAGTCCACATCACCATCCACCCCCATCATCCCTCCCCCACTTGCACTGAACAATGCATTGCCACCACTCATACCACCAGACCCTTGCCTGTGCATGCTCGGTGGTGTATACCCCTGTAACATGCCGTTACCACTTCCACTCTGTGGTAACCCTATTCCTGGAGACATTTCCACCACTGCTCCTGGTCCACTGCCCAGAATCCCACCTGCCCCAGATATACCTCCCCCTGCCCCTGCTGACCCACTCCAGAGCTCCCCTGAAATGCCTGGCACTGCTGACCCTCCACCCATCATCCCTGCGGAGACCGAACCACCTGAGAAACCACCTGAAGCACCTGTGCCGGCACCTGAAAACCCCCCTGTGCCGCCCATTCCATGTGCACCAGCCATGCCAGTGCCGAAACCAGGGATGCCAGGCAGGTAAGGGGATGGGAGGCTGTGCATAGGATCCCTATGGGTCTGGGCTGCTGCTGCAATAAATGGCAGCTCCCCTCCTCCTCCGCCCCCCACTCCTGCTCCCGCTGCTCCTCCGTCTGCCCCTGCTCTTGCTCCCACAGACGCAGCAGCAGCTGTAGCAGACGCTGCTACAGCCGCCGACGCCGTCCCAGCAAGCCCAACTGGGTTGTGGTCTGACATTCGGTAACGGTAGCTCTCTCCTGCCTGCTGCTGCGATCCCGCAACCGAAAACCCCAGCGCTACAGCCGGAGGTGCTGCTACAACAGGAGAGGCCACATATTGCGCTACAGCCTGGGACGATTCCCTCTGAGGGCTAGTGCTGCTTCTCCACCTGCCCGCATTCGGAGACAAAACATATCCGCCTGCCCCACCGCCCAGCCCGCCTCCAGAAGCCCGGGGCGACACGGGCTGAAAATATTTCGGCGGGCTGCCCGGAGCGGCGGAAAAGGCGGGGTAGCCGGGAAAGCGGGGCGGGCTGGAGGGAGAAGGGGAGTAGAAGGAGGAGCGGGGGGAGGAGGGATGGGAAGAGGATCGCTGATGTGCCTGTCTGTCCTGCTGATGCTGCGTCTGCTGGTGCATCTGCTGCTGCTGCTGCTGCAAAAACTCCTGGCGGTGCTGCTGGTGGTCCGGGTGGTGCTGGCTGAATCGAGAGAGGTCCTGCTTCCCCTGCTGCTGGCTGGCTGATTGTGACTGTAACGAGGGGTCGGACGGCATCTCTCCACGATCCCTTGATTCGGACTCCTTGAGCAGAAAGTCGATCCAGAGGTCCGTGAAGGTCTGCAAACGGGGGCAAAAGTGAAGTGGGAAGGGACGGGAAAAGGTAAGAAGGGAGTAACTCTCTGTAATCCCTAGATTCGGATCCCCTCAGGAAGAAGTCAATCCAGAGGTCCGTGAAGGCCTGCAAACGGGGGGGGATGAGAATCGGAAAGTGCAGAGGGAAGGGAGAGGATGAAGCAAGAAGGCTGTGATTCCTTGATTCGGATTCCTTGATTCGAATTCCTTGATTCGGATTCCTTGAGAAGGAAGTCGATACAGAGGTCAGTGAAGGTCTGCAGGGGAGAAGGGGTTCGGGGAGTGTGGAAGAAATGAGGGTGGAGGGATGCAGTAGGAGGGTTTGTTTGCATCTACAGAATTTCCACCTGAAAAGGGAAGCTTCTAAGAGAAAAACTGAACGGAGAAAGGAAGCCTTAAAACTCCTTGTAGTGCCAAACAACCCTTGCACCATGCCAAACAACCCTCTCACTGTGCCAAACAAACCCTTGCACCGTGCCAGACAACCCACTCACCATGCCAAACAACTCTGACAACGCATAGAACCGCCACTCACTGTGCTGTCGTCTGCAATGCTTGCCAGGGCGCCAGTGCTTCCCCCCACTCCCCCCACGCTCGCTCCCCCTCCAAAAAGTCCCCCCACCAGCCTCCCCGGAAGCCCAAACACGCCCCTCACCCCCCCTGCTGCTCCTCCTCCCACCCCCATGTGGCCTGCTGCTGCCAACCCCACCCGCTGCTTGTCCTCTTCTGAAAATCCAAGAATGCGAGCCATGAGGTCAAGAACCTGAGTGTGGGTGGTAACCAGGTAACAGGGCAGAAGAAGGGAATACAAGGGAGTTCAGGGGAGTGCAACGGATAAAGCACCAAGGCACTTCCTCCCACCCCCATGTGCCCTGCTGCTGCCAGCCCCACCCGCTGCTTATCCTCCTCTGAGAATCCAAGGATGCGAGCCATGAGATCAAGCACCTGAGTGTGGTAACCGTGTAACAGAGCGGAACAAGGGAGCACAGGGGAATACAAGGATAGATAGAGCATGAAGGCGCTTCCTCCCACCCCCATGTGGCCCGCTGCTGCCAGCCCCACCCGCTGCTTGTCCTCCTCTGAAAAGCCAAGGATGCGAGCCATGAGGTCAAGCACCTGAGCGTGTGGTATCCAGGTAACAGTGTACAAGGGCAGCAGAGATTTTTAACATCTCAAAAGGGAGAAAAGTGGAAGCAGGAACAAAACCATGGGCACAGTAGAGGGAGCCAAGCCAGGCCCACCTAAAACGAATATCACAGATACAAACATACATTCAAAACTGAAAGTCAGTCACCTGAAAATTGCCTTCTAAAAAGGCTGCACCACTCACCTCCTTGCTGTGCTTGCGCTGAAAGTAAGTCACCAGCAACTTGATCACGATTCTCCTGCTCCACATTCACACACGCAGTTCCACACAGAAGAAGTCAAATAGAGAGGGTGAGGGCGGAGGGGAGGGGAGGTGAAGTGATGTTTAAGTCGACTAGAAAATCTGCTCCACATGCGCGCACAAAGTTCCACAGAAAACAGGTGCTGTCAAAGGAGGACAGGTGGGCTGCGGAGAACAGGTGGGCTGCGGAGAACAGGTGGGCTGCGGAGAACAGGTGCTGCGGAGGCCTTACGTCTCAAAACACGAAGGTCCACAGAAAACAGGTCAAAACCATAAAAGAGGGTGAGGGTGGAGGAGAGCTGAAGTGTGGTTCTCAAAACATTTTTTCAGACCGCACCACACACTGCTCCCAACTCCCATCCTCTTAATAAGCTGTTTCTTTACAATCTCTGCGGCTCACCTGTCTACAGTGAAGTCGGAATCAGACGACATACTGTTAAGCCACACCACACACTGCTCCAGAAAACACTATCTCCCTTATAGGGTGGCTTCGTATTCTGTTTCTCACCTGTCTACAGTGAAGTCAGAGTCAGACGACATTCTGTATAGCCGCACCATACACTGCTCAAGAAAAAATCATCCCCCGTATAAGCCCCTTCCATTCCACTATCCGCTTCTCACCTGTCTACAGTGAAATCAGAATCAGAAGACATTCTGTTGAGCCGCACCATGCACTGCTCCAGAGCCTGGCGGACCTTGGACAGCTCGTTCCCTGCCCTCTGCTCCCCCACCACCGCTGCTGCTCTCCCCCTCTCTGCCTCTGCTGCTCTCGCCTCGGCTGCTTCTACCTCCTCCGCCCTCCTGCTTGCGAGGTCCTTCGCCAACTGTAGAGGGGAGGGGAAAGGCGGGGGGAACGACTAAGCAACACCGTTCTCTCCTTAAACAGCTCCTTTTCTCGCCTCTGCTGCCTGTGCCTCCCTCATCCTCCTCCTTGCAAGGTCCCGCACCAACCGGTAAGGGGGGTGGGAAGAGGGAGGGAATGTGGGAAGGAAGGGTGTGGGAGGGGAGAAAGGGCGAAGGAGGAGACGAGGGAAGAAAACACTTTTGAGGCGCTTTGAAAGGAAACACCTGCTGGCAGATGCCTTTTTAGGCTTGGGACTTAGTCTCAGAACAGGTGCTGCACTGCACATATGATGGATGGACACACCTGCAGCTGCTCAGACTTTTGAAACGTCTTTTTTTGAGACTTGGGACTCGGTTCGGAACAGGTGTTGCACTGCACATATGATGGCTCACGACAAACCAGCAGCTGCTCAGCCATTTGGAGAGCTGGCATGCCTAGCCATCTCTATATCTGCTATGCTGCCAAGGATTTGCAGGATCTTTTGAGAACATAACTCGGTGCCCCACAATTCCAAGAAATGCCTGTGAATTCTCAAAATACCCGAGAATTCCTAAATTGACCCAGCTGGCTGAGCAGCTGCAAGGCGACAACAATTGAGAAAACTCACTGCAAAGGAGCTATCGGTGTTGTCGCTGCACTGACCTGCAACTGCTCAGCCAGCTTGGTGTTGTCGTCCCGTGCTGCCGCTAGCTCTGCTGCCAACCGGTTCTGCACACGTCCGATGGGAGAACGCACCAGAATGAGACACACAGACAGCAGCAACAGGCAATCGATTCATGAGTTGACTAAAAGATTGCTCTGCACGTCCAAAGAGAGCATGCACCAAACGAGAAACACAAACAGGCAACTGATTCAGTTGGTGGGCAACTGTTTGAGCGCACCAAAATGCACAGAAACAGGAAATACATATGGACAAACTGATTCTGCGGAGGGCAAACCTGAGCCTCAGCTTCAGCATAGAACTGCCCCAGGGCTGCCTGAAGATTGTTCAGCTCCTGATCCCGAGCCTCAAGTTCGGCCCGAAGCACCTGCCTCTCCCTCTCCGCCTCCTCCCTCTCCCTCTCCCTCCTCACTCCCTCCTCCCCCACCTCCTTGGCTCGGCTCTCCGCCTCTTTCCTGGCAGCTTCCGCGGCGGCGCGTGCGTCTGCTAGCACGGACTGGAGGGCTGCCAGCTCACGGGATTTGTCCTGTAGCTGCGCCTCGAGAGATTTGATTTGGTCAGTTTCATGCTCCACCTTGGCTGACTCGGCATTTTCCTGAGAGGAACAGAGGGGAAGAAGGGTGGAACGGGGATGGAGGAGTGGGGTGAGAGGTGGGGGTGGGGGTTTGGGGGGGTGTGGGTGGGAGGGACAGAAAGAGGGGGCGAAAGAGTGCATACAGGAGAATCATGCTTCATCTCTACTGATTGCTGAGGTCTCGGCCTCGAAACCCGTCTTCACCCCACCTCGTCTTAAAAGTATTATTGTCATCAACAGCAATCCAAACAGGTGACCCGCCCTCGCCATCCCACCCCACACCCCACCACTCAGCGAGCGGCACTTACCAGCTCCAGCAGGTGCTGTTTCAGCCTCGCCAGTTCCCGCTTCGCCTTGTCCCTCTCCCCCTTCATCGCATTCAGCACCCCCTCCAGCTTTCCTCTCTGTGCCGCTGCTGCCTCCTCTACTTCCCTTCTCCTCCCCTTCCTGCGTCCTGACCCACACCCCCCAGTCCCTGACCCCCACTCACCAGGTTTGACCGTTTGAGACATCTTGAAGCCACCTGTTACCCTCCCCCAAACGCCCTCCCCGTCCTCAACACACTCACCAGCTCTAGCAGGTGTTGTTTCAGCCTCGCCAGTTCCCGTTTCGCCTTGTCCCTCTCCCCCTTCATCGCACTCAGCACCCCTTCTAACTCCCCTCTTTGCGCCGCCGCTGCCTCCTCCATCTCCCTTCTCCTCGCCACTGCTTCCTTCTCTGCTTCTGCTCTCCTCTCCTCTGCCTCCCTCTCTGCAGCTCTCACTGCCACTGCTATCCTTCTCACTGCCTGCTCTTCCATTGCCACCACTGCAGCTGTCGCCTTCGCCTCTGCTGCTTCCTCCGCTTCTTTCCTCCTCGCCTCTGCTGCTTTCGCCTGGCTCTCTGCTTCTTTCGCCTGGGCCTCTGCTGTTTTCACCTGGGCCTCTGCTGCTTTCACCTGACGGTCACACTCTTCCCTGAGCTGTTGGAGGGAGGTCTGGAAGGAGGCGTGCTGGGAGGAGAGGGCTTGCTCTGCTGCCTGAAGTTTCGCCTTTACTTGCGATAGCTGCGATGGTGGGAGGGGAGGGGCATAGGGGAGGGAGGGAGGAGAGAGGCATAGAGGAAGGGAGGTATGAAAGGAGGTGCGTTGGTTGGAGGCAAGGGCTTGCTCCGCTGCTTGCATTCTTGCCTTTATTTGTGATAGCTGTAATAGTGGGGAGGGGCAGAGAGGAGGGGCATAGGGGAGGGCAAAGCAGGAGGCACGGAGGAGTGTTGCGGGGTTCTTAAGCTGACTCATAAGCCTCAAAAGTAGTGCAAGCATGCTCACACGACCGCCACCATTCCCATGCAAGGTACACACCTCGTCTGACTGAGCTGATTCTTGAGGCGCCTATTTTCTTTTTCACCTGAAGAAACCACTCACTCACACGACATCCACCATTGCTGATTTTTTAGGCGAATAAATTGATAGTAATCTCAAGAAATCACTCACTCACACGACCTCCACCATTCCCATGCAAGGTACACACCTCTTCTGACATTATTGTGAAGATGACAAAAGTGACACAAGCATACTCACACGACCTCCACCACTCCCATAAAAGGCACACACCTCTTCTGACTGAGCTGGTTCTTGAGGCGCCTTTTTTCTTTGTTACCTGAAGAAACCACTCGCTCACACGACCTCCACCATTCCCAGGCAAGGTACACACCTCTTCTGTCTGAGCTGCGGCCGCAGCCGCCGGGGCAGCAGCAGAGGCAGCCCGAAGCTGAGCCCCAGCTTCGGCAGCCCGAGCCTCGGCGAGCTGGAGCGAGAGCTGCTGCAGTTCGGCCTGGGGGGTGCCGAAAAGGGAGAGGGGGTTGGAAAGAGAGAAGGTCGGAGGAGAGAGGGTGAGAGGAGAGAGGGGTAAGAGGAGAGAGGGTAGGAGAGCAGGTTGAGAGAGGAGAGGGTGGGAGGGGAGAGGGGTGAGAGGAGATGGAAATTGCGAGTTGAGGGGAAACAGTAGAGAAGGAGAAACGGTTCGATGTCATCCTTTCTAGAAATATGGACAGAGAGAATAAGTAGTGGTGAAATCGTGAGGTTTTGTCTCCTCTAAGTGACAAACACAGGGGAATGAAGAGAAAGGGTCTTTTTCTCGTTTCTTTTTCCTCTTTTTTTTTCCTAGTAGAAATCCTTGTGTCAGCTGACGTCATCACTACCTGCCACGAGGCTTTGGAGGCGTCAGCAGCAGCTACTGCCTGCGCCAGTTGAGCCTCCACCTGCCTCAGCGCCCCCTCCGCCTGCTGCCGCACTGCTGCCTCCTCTTTCATCTTCTCATGTGCCTCTGCCAAGTCGTTGAACAACTGGGGTGGGGCCAAGGAGGGGTTGGTGGGAAGGAAGGATATTAGGAATTCCCCACCTGCCTATCATAAATTCCCCACCTGCCTCAGTGCCCCCTCCGCCTGCTGCCGGGCTGCCGCCTCCCCTTTGATCTTCTCATGCGCCTCTGCCAAATCGGTGAACAACTGGGGTGGGGGGAGGTGAGGGGTTGGTGGGTGAGGGGGGGTGGGGGGATTAAGGGTTAGTGTGACGGAGAAAAAGCATTTTACAACGGACCTGGCTGCCCCCCTCTGCCTCGGCTTTCAGGATGGGCGGCTGACTCGACCTTCTGACTCGACCTTCTGACTCGAACTTCTGACTCGACCTTCTGAATCGACCTTCTGAATCGACCTTCTGAATCGAACTTCTGACTCGACCTTCTGACTTGACCTTCTGATTCGACCAGCAAGAATAGACAATTTCTTGACTTGGTTCAGTCAGAATCCTCCCCAAAATGCCTCTGTGCAAGCATGTGGCTGTGACTCACTTGCTGCCTCTCGGCTTTGAGAATACTGCACTCCTGCACAGCTGATTCCCACCCCTCTCGACCGCCTGCCGTGATGCCAGGAAGGGACACGAGACGGAGGAAACGAGGTTGCAGAGAGAGGAAAGGGTGATGGGAGGAAGTGGTGTGTCAGGGCGACAAAGGGGAAGGACTGGGAGGAAAGAGGGATTTGGAGGCTGCCGGAAAAGAGAGGATGGTAGCTGCAGCGGGTTCAGGCGAGGTGTGTTGTGGTGATGTGCGTTCTGTGTGGTGCACAAAGGTGCAGTGATGTTCGGTGGGTTGCAGCGAGGGTCGGTGAGACCCCGTGCGTGCGATGAGCAGAGATGGAGGGGCGTTCTCACCTGTCATCTGCTGCGCCAGCTTCCTCGCAGCTTCCCTTTCTCTCTCCATCTCACCCCTCACCACTCTCAACTCCCCTTCCAGCCTCTGCTTCTCCTCCCTTAACCTCACCACCTCTCCCCCTCTCTCCCCCGCCAGCCACCTTTCCTGCTCTGCACCTGGTGCTGATGCTAATCCGAATTCTGCTGACTTGACCCCAGCGGCTGCTGCTAACGCCACTGCAGATGCCACTCCTGGTGCTGATGATGGTGCCGCCGCTGCTACTTCTGCTGTTACAGGCGCTTGTGCAGAGGCACTTGGTTCACTAAAGAAGGGAGGGGTGCCAGTGGGAGGTTCACCTGGGGCAGGCTTGACTGGGAGAGGGGCAGACGATGGAGAGCCATGAGAGGGAGGTCCAAACGGGAGAGGTCCCACCGGGGGAGGTGAATTGCGGGCAGGTCTGATAGGCGGAGGGCCATTTCGCGGAGGCCCATGTGGGGGAGGTCCGTGGGGGGGAGGTCCGTGTGGGGGAGGTCCGTGGGGGGGACGGCCAGCAGCAGATGCAGCAGGTCTCGGTTGTGGGGGTTGTTGTGGGTGCGACTGTTTCAACTCCTCCTCCTCCTGCTGCTGCTGCTGCTGCTGCTGCTGCTGCTGCTGCTGCTGCTGCTGCCGATGCGGCTCCTGCGGTTGTCCTTTCACTCCTCCAGAGCTGGCTTGAAACAGGGGCGCGCCAAAGGGGTTTCCCTTTCCTCCCGCAGGTGCGTTTCCCGCAGAGTAGGGCGGGTTTCCGGCAGTGGTGGGTGGTGGTTGAGTAGGGTGCTGCAGAGGAGAGATTCCATGTGGAACCTGGTTCGGACCTCCAATGTGACTACTTTGAATGTGACTACCCTGACTGGCACGGTGTGAGTCCTCAGCAGCAACATCCCGAGCCCCTGAATTAGGGTCCGAAGGAGAATCCTGAGATGTAGCAGGCAAAAGCCTCGTTACAGTAGGGTCCGGGGTGCCTTGCAGGCGAGAGGCTGATTGTTGGTGGAAAGGGAGAGGGCCTCGTTTGGCCCGGAACCCTGATGCTGTTTGCCCTGGCCATTGCAGCTGCGACGGGTCCTGTGACACAGCGAAAGGTGATTACCAACTGGCGAATTAGGTCGTGCGAGAGACAGCTGGGGTTGAAGCAAAAGTCGAGAGACAGAGATTCTGGCATACAAGCATTGATACATGAACGAAACGGTAATACGAACGGAATGGTACAAACACTTACCTCGGGACCCGCTTTGCCGCGCCGCTCCGGGGTAGAATCAGCAGAGGAACCTTCGGAGTAGGAGTCCGAAGACGAGTGGTGAGACGGCGAGCCGGGCCCACTGCCGAACAGGCCAGGGTCGAGCTCTTCCGCGGTGTCGAGAACGTCCGACGCGATCGCCGAGATGTTGTTCTTCAGGTTTCGGAATGTGCTCCACATGATGCTAACGGATCTATTCTTGAGGCGCCTCAAAATTGGAGCTCCTCCGCGGTGTCGAGAACGTCCGACGCGATCGCCGAGATGTTGTTCTTTAGGTTTCGAAATGTGATCCGCATGATGCTAACAGATCTATTGGCATCACACCATGCGAAGAGTCTTCTAACGATTTTATTGTTTAGTTTGTCTAGCTACAGCATGGGAATAGACAAAGTGTTGATGGTGTTGAATTGACGTAAATAGTGGAGGTTGTACTTCACTCTTGAGCCTTTTTTTTTCTGAGCGAGTGAATACTTGCTCACAAACGCTGGGATAGGCAAGTAGGTTTGGCACCGTAAAGTTCCGCACTGGAATTTGCGATTTGGCTGACACGAGTGCTGGGCTCATGAGTAACGTTTGGCCTAAAAGCTAATTTAGAAGCACGAGACTGCTAAGGCACGCCACAATAGAACCTAGAAACTGACGGAAACTAGTCGCGACAGCTGCATCCATAGGTTAGGGTGTTCCCAAGACCGTTGGCAGGACAACATCTTCGTATAGCTTGGTTCGGCCGAACAGCAAAAAGGGATCAAACCTACTGGTTCGGATGCTTTCTGACTGGTTTAGCAGCTGACAACAACCAAACTACCTTGTGTCAGTGTACTCGTTTCAAAGAGCTCGACATACGAACAGCTACGAAGCTTGTGTGGAGATCTGCTCCAATGTAATTGGAGGCATTTCACCAGTAGACTTCCAGAATCTAGATCCAATAACTTGTGGTCGGGGGGTGCCCCACATCGTTTTGCCAAACCTCGTGCCTCGGTGTATCGACGTCGAACCTATACGCTAGGTTCATCCAGATTCCAGATGCAGTCAGGAGTGCATACAGCACAACCAGTCTGGCCCCCTGGCATGTGTTTCCCCGCTGACCCTACACTACGGTTCAGTAGGTTTTTATCGTGGTAATAATGACTTCCTAGGGAAAACCGCTTTAGACCGCAACGCGCCAAAGTTGAACTGGGAATCAACTCCCAGATACCCCATTTTCCTCATTTACTTGCAGTATCAAAGCTATTGGCCCTGTTCGACAGACAGGCAAGCCCTTCCGCGGAATCAGCACGGCTGTTTCCACTTGGGGTTTTTTCCCACGGTCAGCCCGCAAATTGGTGTCACTGGGCCTTAACGCCCTGCAACCTGAAGGGTTAAGGGTTAGCCTGTCGAACGCGACGTTAACCCTTCAACTTCATCCCCCCCGAAAGCTCCCAGCTCCTTCTCTCCCGCACAGACTTTAGCCTAGCTCTAGCCCAATTTCCAATCCCCAGAAGGGAGGTTGGCCAAGGGCTAGGCTAGGGTTCCATACGGGAGAGAATACCCACCCCATACCCTACGAAAGTTTTCCCACCAGTGCCCATGCTCTCGCCTCTCCCATCTCTGCCTTGAAAAAGTCCCTTCCTCACACAACCAAACCAGCCACCAACCACGCACGACTCTCACTTCTCCACTTCTCCAATCTTTTTTATTCCCTGAAGTTACCCAGGTTCCCATGCCATCCCTATGAAAAAAAATAGACCCTGCCCACGATGAAGATGGTGGAAGGAGGGTTAGCAACTTCGCCTTGACGACCCCCTCCTTCCGACATCGGGAGGCGCTGCTTCCGATTTCGTAAGGGGGGGGTAGCCTAGGGGAAGTTACTTCGAAAACTCCTCTTAGCTCTAGCCTAACCCTAGCTCTCCAAGGAGATGGCTGCCTATCGAACAGGGCCATTACTAAGGCGTGGTAGAGCGTAGTTATACCTGGAAGTCTCACTCGGCGCTAGACATCTCGACAGAGATTCTCGTGCATCTTGCCGCAGATTAGGGCCAGACATGAGGGGCCTATCGCTCAGCAGCATTCCAGCATGCCTTCTGCTCGCCGTCTTCCTGCCTTTTCTCTCCGAAGGTGATATGCCGCCAATACGCGAAAGAAAGACGTTTTTTTGCTCGAGGTGTTGAGTGTCAGGGAGATCTGATATATAATCGTCATGCAGCCACCTCGTTCGCGTCACGCTCTGAGATGGTATTTCAATTTAGCGGAAAGCATGCGCGTGTCAGCAAGATCCCACTTTGTGAATCTCTGACCTCACTTTTACAGAGATTTATTTGTGCCTTGATACCATCATTTCTTTCTTCACGTTGCGCATTCTCCAACCGTTTCTAGCGTTTTCCGTCGTTTGGTGTGCCATATCGTACCTTCCCCTTCCGCTCCTGCCGATTCCCTACGTGCCTACACCAGCCGCGGTGCTTCGGCTTCAGCACATCAAGATCTTCCAGACGCATGACCTTCCCTTCTGGTCGTCATTCATTACTTCGAATGCCAACCCCCAAGCGCCAGCTCGACGCATTGATAATAGATCATCGCATTGATTTCACTCCAGGTTCCTTCCCCGTCCGTCCCTGCGGATTCCCTGTGCGTCCACTCCACACCAGCTGCCGTCGTACGGCTTCAGCGCGTCAAGATCTTCCAGACGCATGACCTTCCCTTCTGGACGCCATCCGTGTAATTCCAATGGGAGGGAGAGCCCAAACGCCAGCTCAACGCGTTTATAATAACACTCGTCTTTTATCCCGATTCCCTGTGTTTCCAATCCAAATCAGCTGCCGTGGTGCGGCTTCAGCGCATCAAGATCTTCCAAACTCATGACTTACCCTTTTGGAAGCCGTCAGTGTACTTCCAGTGCGAGGGAGAGCCCAAGCACCAGCTAGACGGTGTCGTGGAAGCAAATGTGGACTACAATTTCACTCTGCATGAGCCCTTCCAGGTGGGTGCTCTGAAGGAGTTCTTCCGGGTGGGTGCTCCTCAGGAGTTCTTTCAGGTGGGGGTACTCTGCAGGAGTTATTCCAGGTGGGTACTCTGCAGGAATTCTTTCAGGTGGGTGCTCTGCAGCAGTTCTTTCAGATCGATACCCTGTGTGAGCCCAATCAGGTGGGTGAAATATTTTGACTGATAAATCATGGCTTTGGTTGGTGGTGTGAAATTATGTGGGGGGGTTCATTATACGGCGAGCTGACCAATGCTAGTGATTGTCACATGCAAACTGCTCCATGTGCCATTCAGCGTATCCATGCCCATCCTTCTGTTGATGACGTCATTCTATGGCCTTTCTTTCTCTTTTCTTGTGGTGGGGATGGTTTCTGCTGATGTGGTGCCATTCAGTGCTGCTGCGTTCATGACAAAGATTGGTTTCCTGGTGCAAGTTCTGCACTGTGTTTCAGTACGAGTGGCTTATGAGTGCTGCTGCAGCCGCGATGAGGACTGGATTTTTTAAATGAGTGCTGTACCCTGCTTCCTCCACCTTCTTCAACATATGCCTTTTCTTCTGTCTGCAGCCCTTGACAGAGCTCACGGAGGGCCACTGCAAGCAGTGTGGTTTCTACGACGCAGACACGTTGACAGAGGACGATGCGTTTGACCGCTTCAACCTGTGTCCCCTCGACTTCGCCCCCGCTCCCTCTGGCCGTCTCACTCGCCTCGTGGAGAACGAACTGAATGTGACGTTCGTTTGCCCTCATTGCAACTCTGACAGAACCTCACGGTCCTCAGGAGGTATGTATACATCCTCTTCAACTCAATCGCGGCGCAAGAACAAATAATCCCTCCACCTAGTTGAAGGATTGGGAACTTGTAGCTTCTCGCTTGCTACGTGGCCATTGGTACGTAGGACAGGGAATTCACAGTTTTTCTCCACCTGTTGACTTCGCAGTTCACCCTCACCTTCAGAGCGTACTGAAATGGTGTTTTACCACAAATAGTTGCTCATTTGGAGATTATTCGATTCTGTGATAGATAGCTCCAAAGCGGGATTGTGACATGCTCAAAGTGAATACATGAACAGTTGTTTGGTCTGCGCCTCCTCCAAAATTTGTTTGCTCACTGCCCCTTTCTTCCCCTTCTTTTCCAACTCCACAGATGAGTTTGAGGGCACGGACACCAACAATGTGAACCTACTTAACGTTTTTCTCATAGTCATTGCAGTGGTGACTGGCATCAGCTGCCTCACTGGCCTTCTTGCTTTTTGGCTGAAATCTGGAGCCTGGCCACTCTTCAGACGACGAATGGACAGCGACACAGCGAAGTTTATGGAGATGTTTGACGAGGAGGATGAGCTCCTAGATGGAGATGATGAGAGTGGCGGAGATGTTGAAATGGGAGAAGGAGCTTCATCAAGCCGAAATGGACCTCATTACCGGGACGACTAAACTTTGTACCGAGTTTCCCAGCCCGCAAATCTAGTTGTCACTTGGCTTTGCTGTACCCATACTATATTTTGTAGTACAATATGTTGGTGCTTTTTGTTTCACTTACGAAACACTTCGCCAGGCGGTTCGTGTGGCTAAAATGGTCTGACCAGCCATGTGGCTTCAATGCCGCGTCACCGATCGCCCACTCCAGCGGCAGACTCCACATCACGAGTCGCAATTCGCGGCATGGCGAGGAATCACGGTTCAGTGGAATCAAACCGCTAGAGACATTCGCATCTTGGGAATCTCTCACACAAACCCAACTGAAGCTTGAACTGGACCGAACAATGACGAGGAGTTTTGCTGGTTCCAGTGAACCTGGAATATCCCTCCCAGTCATGCAGGAAATTGACCAGCCAAACTGACTAACTCTGCCTGGGCGTGTGCTTTGCGGACGCGGATATTAGATGCTTGAGAGCTTTTAGACCACTCACTCAGGCGGCTGTCGACCGGTCGACTTGATCGTGACTGCTGTTTAGCTTATGCCAATTGACTGTTCCTGAGGAACTCGTTTTGGTGTGTTGGTCCACGATTTCACCGTCTAAGTTTTACAGGCTCCCTGTAGTACCAAGCTTGAGAACAACTAAACGTCTGGCTCTTCGTGTCTGACTTTCTCTCCGCTGATCACCATGCCGGCTGGAATGGAAGAGAGCCTTTCACCTCCACCTTCTCCGCTGAAGAGGGACCTGAGGGTGACTGAAGTGTACAAGCCCGGTTCGTTTGATCCAGCCTCGCATTTCTACCCTCGAGTGCTCAATGCACAGATTCACCCTCTTGTGAGGTCGTTTCTTGGGCTTGGAAATGAGAGGATCGCCAAGAGATATGTTCACCTTCATCCTGCAGCAAAACCAGAGGCGGTTCAAGAGGCGCTTTCATATGCGTGCAAGTGAGTCGTCGTAAAAAGTTGAAACCATTTTCGACAATTTAATACGCCATGTATATTAAACATTTATTTCTCTCGTGTTCAGGTACTTTCAGTGGGGCGGAGCTGACTTGTTCTCTGTGACAACCGAGAAGGGTCAGAAGCGATTCGTTGTCATTGAGACGAACTCATGTCCGTCAGGACAGAAGTCCATGCCCATGGAAAACGAAGACCTTGAGCACGCCGGCTATAAGACTCTGCTGGAAAAGGCATTTCTTCCAGTGCTAAATTCTGGCAAATGGAATGGAGAGACGATTCCAGAGGGAATTCTGGCTGTTCTGTACGACAAGAACCCAATGGAAGCATCAGGATACGCAGCAGCATTGGCTGATCTCACGGGAGAATCAGTGTACCTCACTCCCTGTTACGCAGATGAAATAGAGCCAAAATGGAGGTGGCGTCCAGACGGAATTTTGGAGATCAACATCGCTGGAGCCATTCAGAAGGCTCAGAAGGAGGAAGTACCGATTGTTACGACGGGATCAAAGGTGTCACGCACGAGCTCTTCGTCCAGTGAAGGGAAGCCAGAAACCTCTACATTTCAAGCTGTAGAGCCACAGTGGCGACAGGTCAGAGGTGCGATCAGATACGTGACACAACGGCCATGGACAAGGATACCTCCCGTGACGCGGACGATGATTTTCAACCCTGTCCTTGCTTGTTTGGCTGGAGGACGCAACAAGGCAGTGGGAGCTAAAGCGTATGATCTTCACAACGCTGCGCTGGCGTCAACTGGGCTCTCTATCCTTACTCCTGAGACCATTTGGGATGTTGCCAAGCCGGAGATTCCCCTCTGGGTCGGCAGAATGGGTGGCCTGGCTGTAGTGAAGGTTCCTTATGCTAACGCAGGTCAGGGCGTGTGGACAATCACAAACGACGAAGAGCTGAAGGAGTTCATGGCGATTGAGCAGCGCTATGACCGATTCATTGTTCAGGTACCTCAAGGGCGAGAAGTTCACTTTATTGCGCTCTCATATCTCATTCACTGCATACTATTCATTGCTGGAGTTTGTAGCGTCCTGCAGATGACTCAAATCTGTCCTCGTCATTGCAGGCCTTGATTGGGAACAACGGCTGGAGTTCCCAGAGTGTGAGTGGCAGGCTGTACCACGTGGGGACCATTCCGACAAGCAAAGGGAACATCTACGCCTCTGACCTGAGGATGATGGTGGGGTCTGGAGCAGGTGGCTTCTTTCCAGTTGCCATCTATGCACGGAGGGCCAAGCTTCCACTTGCTGAGAAGCTTGAGAGTGGGATTCATTCTTGGGACATGTTGGGAACGAACCTCTCATACAAGGTACCACCAATTTCTGACTTGTTGGGAAACGCATACGCAGTAAGTTGCCTCCCATACTGCAGCTGACCTGTCATTGTGAATCGGGTTTGCAGAATCCAGATGGGACTTGGGGAACGGAGACAGACAGGCTGCTGCTGATGGACAGCCGGGACTTCAACAGGCTTGGTGTTGGTGTGGATGATTTGATTGAGGCCTACATGCAGGTGAGAATCCGTTCAAATCATCAGTCGATTTTTTTTGGAATTAGTTATGTTCTGACTCCTGTTTCCTGCTAATTTCAGACTATCCTGGCAGTGACCGCTATCGACCGGCTTTGTGGAAAGCTAATAACACCGAAGGTAGGAAGCTGCTGCTGTGGTTCCTTCAGGTTAGTGACTGTGTTTGAGATCTGGAAGCTAACTGATCTGATGTATGCATCTTACAGGGAAATTTCGGCCTGAAGCTTTTTGGATCTCTGAACCCTGACGTCAAGCTCTTGGATGAGCTGTACACGCTTCCACTGCATTCTCTTCCTGTGGAAGGTACCAGCGAGTCATCTTGCCTGGTGAAGCGTGCAGCAGATCAAGCAACGGAGCAAGAAGACGCTCTTGCACAAGAGCTTCAGCTGGAGGTCACAGTTGCAGCTCCTCCTGTAAGTAACATGCTCTGGGTTTCCGAGGGAAATTAGGGATTCATTGTCATATGTGGTCCTGATATATCTGCGTGTCTTGGCAGGGAAAGAGAGGGAGGGTTCTCTGAAGGTCCTTGTTTTGTTTCCTTTCGTTTGATGCAACCTCACAGTTTTGGCTTCATACGGTATATTCTTTCAGTTGCCACTCATAGCTACATCACTCATAATGACACACTGCACGTATGGAATTAGTGTTGCATTATCATTCCCATTTTGTATATCTTCATACAATTTTGACAATTATATTTCAAGCCACCAGCGACCGGTAATGGCATGCCTCTTGTGGTTTTCACAAACAGCAAAATGGTTTTGTACAATGGCATTTTTTAGACTTCTGGAAACTGTTAGTAAATGTGTCATTGAATACATCGTTGGCCACTGATGATTTTTTTTAATCCCCATATTGAAGCGTAACGTCATTTTTTTCTGCACATTTCTGTTGTTACTTAAGTACGAAATTCAGTGTACTTGTAAAGAACCTGCTGATAGACTGGCGTCGTAGTGAAACGCTTTTATTGGAGGAAACACGGTTCTACCTCTCACGGCTCTGGTCCTCAACACGATCGTCGCGGTTGCGCGATCAACTTTCGGCCGTAGTTGTTCGCGAAGGTCGCAATGAAGCACCGCAACGCGTTTCGCAAGCTGGGTCGCGCGAGCAGCCATCGATGGGGATTGCTCCGGTGAGCCGTAGCACGGAGATGGTACACCCTAGCTTGCGGTGACGCGGTTTGCGGGATAGCTGGATTTCGATGTGGATTGCTCCGGTGAGGTGTAAAACGGAGGTGGTACAAAGTAGCTTGTGCTGACGCGGTATGCAGGATACTCGGATCTTGGTGGGGGTTGCGCTGGGGGTGAGCCGTGGGGCGCAGTTTTGAGACGTCTCAAAGCTGGTGGGGGTTGCGCTGGTGCGCCGTGGGGCGAAGGTGACCCCTTACATTTACGTCGAGGTGCTTTTCTCTAATCCGCTCAAAAGTAGGTGGTGTAGTTTAGCTTGTCGTAACGTGCTATGGAACAGGCGCGGCATGACGCCGTATGGGGCTTGGGAAGTAGCGCTAGTCACATCTCCCGTTGTGGCTGTGCGTTACGGCCAACGAAGGGGAGTGAGGGCGGGGAGGCGTAACTTCCGTTACCGCACGCGGCAGTGCGAGCTCGTTTCACCGCGTGCTTGGGTTTGCGACCTTTTTTCCCTTTCTCCCGTTGGTGCCCACTTCCCCTCCCTCTCTCCCCCACTCCCCCCCATTTTTTCCACCTGTCCCTTTTTCTCCCTTATCCCCCCTCCGCACCATCATAATGTCTTAGCTCATACAGCACAAGCAGATCAATATACCCTTCCCCCCTCTCTCTCCCCCAGCTCTTACTCTTCTTCTCCGCAGCACCATTGAGCATGAGCGGATCAAAACCACCCCTTCCCACCTCCCCCTCCCCCTCCACTCTCCACCTCCCACTCCTTCCTCCCCCTCTCCTCTTCTCCTTCTCCCCCTCCCCCCCCGCAGCACCATGGTGTCTCACTCATTTTGCACGAGCGGATTGAGACCCAACCTTCCCCTCTCCGCCTCTTCCCCCACCCTCGTTCCCCCCATCCCTCCCCCTCCGTCCTTTCTTCTTCCCCACTCCACTCCCCCCTCTCTCGTCTACCTCCCCCTCCCCACCCCATCCCCTCCCCCTCCAACCCCCGCAGCACCATGGTGTCTTAGCTTATTAAACACGAGCGGATTGAAATTACTTCTCCCCCTCCGCCTCTTCCCCCAACCTCATTCCCCCCATCCCTTTCTCCCCCTCCGCCCCTACTCCTTTCCCGCTTTCCCCCCTTGCATTCACCTCAACCTTCCCCCAATCCCTCCCCTCCCCCTCCACCCCCCCGCAGCACCATGGTGTCTCAGCTTATTCAGCACGAGCGGACTGAAGTTACTCCTCCCCCCGCCTTCTCTCCTCCTTTACCTCATCCCTCCTCTCCCCCTCCACCCTGGCAACCCCCCGCAGCACCATGGTGTCTCAGCTTATTCAGCACGAGCGGATTGAAACCACAGTCGCCAAGGTAGGCAATAAAGCCCATATCTTTTCGTTGTGCGCATTCATTCTTGCATGCCTTTAGAACCTGTACCGTGCAAGCATGCATTATTGAAGCGCCTGAAATGGTCAAATCCGCAGTCGCCAAGGCTTTCGCTTATCCAGCCAAGCAGATGAAATCTGTGCAATCATGCCTATTTCTCCTTCATGTCTTTCTGCTTCCCCCCTCCTTTCTCCCCTGCTTAACCCCTCCTCCCCCCCCCCCCCCCCCCCCCCCCGCCCTTTTTTCGCCTCCCCCTATCTCTCCAACACTCGATAACCCCTGCTTCTCGTCCCGTGTCCCCCGTGTCCCCGCCTCTCCCCTCAACCTGCCAGGTCAAGGAGTTGAGGTCCGGTGCGGACCGCCTGGTCATTCCGCGTCTCCCCCTCCTGACTCTTGCCCCCTCTCCCGCCCTCCCCCCCCCCCCGCCCCCTTCTACCTCCTGCTGCTTCCTGAATCCTTTCTTTCCCCCCTGCCTCGGCCTCTCCCACAACCTGCCAGGCCAAGGAATCGAGATCTGTTGCGGATCGAATGGTCTCTCTTGCAAAAGAAGTGTGCTACGGTTGCGCTATCTTTGCGCTATGGCTGTGGTATTTACCCCATCCCTGTTTCTCTCCCCCATTGTCTCTCTGCCGCCTGCCCCCGCCTCTCCCCACTACCTACCGTACCAGGCTAAGGAGTTGAGGTCTGTTGCGGACCGAATGGTCACTCTTGCAAAGGAGGTGCGTGATATTAGTGTTGTTGAGTTATTACACACGCAACACAACCACATGGCTGTGCTGTGCTGTGGTTTCTCGCACTATGGTTGCTGCATGCAATGCGTACGTGCTATGGTCTGGTCCCCCTACCCTGGAAACATTTGTCCCTTCCCCTTGCCATCTTTCCCCGCTTCTTAATCTTTGCAGGGCACGCTGCAATCACGCAGAGAAGCTGCAGCAGTGGTGAGAGGGAAGGACGTGCTGCAGAAGCTTTTCTACGACCTGTCAGAGAGATACAAGTGAGTGTGCTTGTAACGAGAACAGAGTGTGTATGTGCAAACACTGCACTGTGATTTAGCTCGTCTTAGAACTTGACGTTTCAAAGTACAATGGTTTTGATTGATATGTTCCTGCACCCTTACACGTAGAGGAGCTCCCCTCTGTCCCGTACATGCTATTGCTCACACTCCCCCCCCACCCCACCACCTTTTGATTTGTTTGTTTGCTTGTTTTTTTTATATGTGAATTCCCTTTTCTCCAGGGATAGAGCAGGAGGCTACACTCGAGTGCTTCCAACTAGAACACGCGTTGGGGATGCAGCCCCTATGGCTTATATCGAGTACGAATTATTCACTCCTTACATTTCAATCCTTTCGTCGAATCTCTTCTTATCTTATTTTTCTTTCTGACTTCCATATCCCATTAAGGTTTCTCGGTAAGGCTTACATGCTGTTTCATCATGTCACAAGCTTTCAATCCCAGTCCACATCTCGGGAGCTGTTTGTTTTCCTCCACCTCTCCTCTCCCTCTGCAGCTTTTTGTTCCCAAAGCTCCCACTCCACCTCTCCCCCTTTCGATGCTCCTTTCTCTGCCTCACCCCATACCCTCCCGAAAGGGGGCATCGAAAGTCCATCCGTCTGCTGCACATGGACCGTCCAGACGAGCTTCGTCGCATCCGACCTCTCATCAATTCCCCTCAGGAGAAATTAAGCTCCCGGGTGCTGTCTCTTCCTGTGTCTCTCTCTCTCTGCCTCTTCCCACCTCCCTCTCTCTGTCTCGTCCTACGCGTGTCTCCATGCCTCCGCAGGTACATCGACCGACCTTCACTTCACCTCACCTTCATTTCTTTCCTGTCTCTCTCTCTCTCTCAAACGGTCCTTGTATTAAACCCGCCTCTGTCTCTTCTTGCCCCACTCCCCCCTCCCAGGTACATCGATCATCCCGATGAGCTTCACCGCAGCCGCCCCCCTTCAGTCCCTCCACCTCCCTCAAAGCCCCAGGCCCCCTAGGTGCTCCCCTCCCTCAGGAGACACTGGCCCCCCTAATGCTCTGTCTCTCTGTGTCCCTCACTCTATCCTCCTTTTCCCCTTCCCTCCCTCCTCCCTCTTCCCTCCAGGTACATTGACCGGCCAGATGAGCTTCGTCGCAGCAGGCCCCCATCGATTCCACCGCCTCCATCTGAGCCGAGGCCCCCTGGGTGCTCTTTGCCCTCAGAAGACACTGCCTTCACCACCCCCCCCCCCCCCCCTCTCCCCCTCCCTCCTCCTCCCACCGTCTCTCTGTGTCACTCTCTCGTCCATGCCCCACCACCAGGTACATTGACCGACCCGATGAGCTTCGTCGCAGCCGGCCCCCATCGATTCCACCGCCCCCCTCTGAGCCCCAGGCCCCCTGGGTGCTCTCCTCTCTCAGGAGACACTGGGCTCCCCCCGCTGCTTCGGTACCACCTACTCCTGATAATGCTTCTGCCTCTGCTTCTGCTGCTGGAGAGAAATCGGGTCATCCACCTAGCAGCTCCTAGAAGCAGCTCTTAGAAGCAGTTCCTAAAAGCCCCCAGCCTCCGAGCCCCAGGCCCACTGGGTGCTGTTCGCTCTCAGGAAACACTGGGCTACTCCTGCTGCTGCTGCTGCTGTTGCTTCTGCTGCTGCTGATTTTGGTGCCCGCTATGCTGCTGGAACCACTCCTGCTCCCTCTTCTTCCTCTTCTTCTGCTGCTGAAAGCTCCAAAAGGAGTTGGTAGTACCACCCGAGGATGGGCCCCAACCCTGTTATCTTCCATCCCCTTCATGTGCACCTCATTGAATCAAAGTTCATGCTAATAATTGTGTTCACCTCAAGCCGTGCAAGCAAATATGTTAGTTCTGGGTTCTGATAACATGCAGTTGCTGTTGCAATGAAGAATTAACTCAGGACCTCTGTTCTGTTATCAAGGTAAAACACCCTGAATCTCTGATTGAGAGGGTGCTGCTGATCAGCCGTGAAGATTTTTGAAATTAATAAACTGTAACTTCGATATGATGCTCAGGCATTTCAGGAGTGTTTCTGCCACAAACGAGTTCGCCAAAGGTGATCACAAAATTAAACCTCTTCGCCGCAGTGATGCCAGCCGCGTGGCGGACAACCCAGCCCAGCCCAGCAGCCGCAAAAACACAATGAGCCAGACCCATCTTGACCGATGAGAATCGAACCGAACCAAGCCCTTATCAGCACACCACCCTGTTCCGTAGGATCTGAGCAGCTTCTTTCTCAGCGTATTTCTTCGCATGAGTAAACGAGACCTGATTTTTGCATTATGTAAACTTTTTAAAGTGTGTAACACTTTTCAAAAATTGTGTATTGTGAAAGTGTAGCGATTGCCAACGCAGCAAAGGCAGCGTCGCATCGCTACTCGCCCTCTTTTGGCTACAAAAGAGGGGGTTGAGGCCATTCGGCCTCACCCACATTCTTCTTTTCAATTTCGAAGTTTGAGTTTCCCACCCACCCACCCATGTAGTAATTGTCTCTAAGTTTCTTGCTGTAATCGTAGTTATTATTGGACGAGATTGATGTACTCACACCCATTTGAAATGAAGCACGATGCCATATGAAATGAAGCAGGATGCCTTTACTAGTTGCAGAAAGCAAGCTTTCACAATAGTTTTTTTTACATTCTTGGTTTCCTTTTTGGTCATAGCATCGAACAGGATCAAGTACCTTAGCCGTTCATTCCTCCTGCCTTCCCACCTCGATCCGTTTATCCTCCTGCTAGCGAATGGCGGTTGATAACGAACCAGCTTCTAGCGCGGATGCGCGGGAAGTCGTGGCGGAGCTGCGCCAACGGCTGCTCGACCGCGCGCTGCCCATAGAGCAGCGCATCCGCGCGCTCTTCTCTTTGCGCAACCTCAAGGGGGAAGCTCCGCAGCAGGCACTTATAGAAGGTAGGCGAGTATGCCACTAGCGGGGATACCGCGTGCTGTAGTAGTCCGTCGGAAATTCTGCGTACGTTACCTGGTGCTGTGTGCTGGTTGTTGCACGAAACGCACTGCACCGAACGGCACCAAACTGTATTAGGGTTTCCGGGTTTCGGGTCTAAGGTTTAGGACGGGCGTTAGTTATGAGTTTCGCATTTATATCGTAGCACTTACTTGTGAAATGATGGTGGCTGCTGAAAGAATTGGCTTACAAGTGCCTAACGGAGCTGTCATTGATGGTTCAGGAATGGACAGCAGCAGCTAGGTTAGCCATTCACTCTGTCATTTCATTTACAGGCAATTTTTTAGTGGATTTTTTTTCCTGCCCGGATTTTTTTCGTTTCACCTTCCCAGGCATGGAGGAAAAGTCGGTGTTATTGGCCCACGAGGCAGCATTTGCTCTCGGGCAGATGGGTGATGTTTTTGCGGTGCCTGCGCTCACTCGGGTGCTTAAGGACTCGTCGTACCATCCCATTGTTCGACACGAGGTGAGAACCTGGTCAGTGTGTAAAATCGTTCACACTTCTTTTCTTTCCCTCTGCGTTTCATAGATAAAAATCCCTGGCCCTTCGGATCCCTCAACCCCCTCCTCCCCATTCTCTTCTTTTTCAATCCTTCTCCCCATCCTCTCGCTGCCTTCCATGTCAGTCCCTTGCCCTCCCTCCTCCCATCTCTCCTCCCCCCCCCCCCCTTTCTCAACCCCCACACTCCCTGTGCCGCCAGCAGCAAGGGCTCTAGCTCTCAGGGTAGCATAGAAAAGAACTCCTTTCCTTTCCTTCTGTAGCACACCGTTCCCCATGAATTTAGGTCGGAACTTGAAATCAAATTATAAACTCGGATTCACCGCTCTGCACCACACTGCACTGAATCATATTCCCCGTGTTGCAGGCAGCAGAGGCTCTGGGCGCCGTTGGTGAAGCCTCCTCCCTCCCTCTTCTCCAAGCCTATCTCGCCGACCCTGCGCCCGAGGTTCGGGAGACATGCCAGCTGGCGGTTCGGCGGCTACAGGACAGCCTAGCTGCAGCGGAGGAGGGGGAAAAGGGGGAGAGGAAGGGGGAGGGGGGAGCAGAGGAGGAGAAGGGGAAGGGGGAGAAGGGGGAGGGGGAGAATGAGGGTGAGGTGCAAGGGGAGGGAGAGGGGAAGCGGTTTTTGTCTGTTGATCCTGCTGGGAGTGCACCCAAGAACGCGAGCACAGAGGAACTCAGGTACTTCTATCAAGTTAGATTGTGTGTATGGATGTGCCATGCTGTGCTGCTGCTGCTCTGTGTGTGTGTGTGTGTGTGTGTGTGTGTGTGTGTGTGTGTGTGTGTGTGTGTGTGTGTGTGTGTGTGTGTGTGTGCGTGCGCGCGCGCGCGCGCGCGAGAGGGTGGATACAGTAGTGACAGTAGTTCAATTCTGAGACGCCTAGAATATATCGTCAGAGAAGCTGCCACAAGCAATGCCGAAACTTCTGTTTTTGCTTCTGGTGATGATGCTGGTTCCGTCCCTGTTTTCCTTCATGCGGTGTGCTTCCAGGAAGCTTCTTCTGCAAGAAGACGCAGACATGTACGATCGTTATGGAGCTCTTTTTGCTTTGAGAGACAAAGCAGCCGCCACTAGCAACGGAGGTGCCGATTCTGCTGGTGCTGCCGATGTTGCTGGTGGTGCTACTGGTGGTGGTAACAGTGGTGATGGTGGGGGTGCAAATGCAGCGGTGGTAGCGATTGTTGAGGCTCTTGAGACCTGCTCTAGTGCCCTGCTCCGACATGAGGTGATGCATGGTGTGGTGTGGTGTACGGCTGGATTGGGTTGGATGTGGTTGGCTATGGTTGGATGTGGTTGAGTGTGGTTGGATGTGGTTGGATGTGGTTGGATGTGGTTGGATGTGGTTGAGTGTGGTTGGATGTGGTTGAATGTGGTTGAATGTGGTTGGATGTGGTTGGATGTGGTTGGATGTGGTTGAGTGTGGTTGGATGTGGTTGAATGTGGTTGGATGTGGTGTACCCCTACAGCAACACCATTATCGTTGCGATTGTTGAAGCTCTTGAGACCTGCTCGAGTGCTCTGCTGCGGCACGAGGTGAGACATGGTGCGCTGTGGTGTGGTAAGACATGCTGCGCTGTGGTGTGGTGGGATCTGTTGCAGTGTGGTGTGAGATTGAGATTTGTTGCAGTGAGGGGGGATCCGTCCCCCATCCCCTCTCCTCCAATCCATTCTCCCTTTCGCCCTCCCCCACTACTCATCAGATAGCCTATGTCTTGGGCCAGCTACAGAACAAAACCGCCGCCCAGGCTCTTGTCAGGGCGCTAGAAGACACGTCTTGCCACGCCATGGTTCGGCACGAAGCTGCTGTGGCTCTAGGCTCGGTTGCAGGTGAGGAAACACATGCTTGCTGTGGTGGCGTGATCAAGGCCTGCTAATTCCAAACGCAAGGGGTTTGTGTGTGTGCTGATGTTTATTGTGTTGAGATTTTTTTTGTGCATTGCAGACCCATTGACGCTGCAGCTTCTAAGAAAGTTCCAGAAGGATCCAGACCCGATTGTAGCAGAGAGCTGCGACGTTGCCCTTGATTTGATGCAGTTTGAATTGCAACCAGATGCGTTCCAGGTAAGTTTGAATTGCAGCCAGATGCGTTCGAGGAAGTTTGAATTGCAACCAGATGCGTTCCAGGTAATAACAGCTTTATTTGCTTCGTTCATCTATATGTCCTTGGATTTTGTGCACTTTGAATTGCTACCACATGTTTTCTCACCATTGTTAAAATCTGTTTCCTTTTGTCATTCCAATTCTTGCAGTATGCAGATGTGTTGCTAAATGCTGCTCATTAAACTTGAAGGACACATGACAGTCGCTGTACTGCAAACGTGGGTACCCTGTCAATTTCAGCCCAGATTTGAAAGAGAATGAACTCACCGCTGGACACTCCTTGATGCTGGCATCAATTACGGTATATGGTACCATGGTTATGTTTTTTTTTTGTGGGGACTCAACATTACATGAATGATCGGTCTGTGGCTTCCAGGAATCTACACTTTGAATCGGTGAACGGATTTTTGATTGACATGTGCGGCTATGCCGTCAACTGCGGTGCTTGTTGCCTTCTGTCGAGGCATACGGCGGCGCCGGCCACGGGCAGAAGCGAGAAGCCCACCTGCAGCAGCAGTTTCAATCATGAACAGTTTATAGCACTCCACAGGTTGCTTCAAGGCACTCAGTGATTGGATGAAAATGTTTTTTCTTGTCGAACCATCAGGTCAGGGGCGGGGTTGGATCTGGATGGATGCGCAGGATAATGTCAGATGTTGCGGTTCGAGTGAGCCCAAACCGAAATGATGGCACGAATGCCACAAGCACCCGAGCCAAGGTGTACCAATGTCAACGTTCGTTTCGGCGATTTTTTTCACTCACACCAAAAGTGTAGGCTCGATGTGCCCCAACCTCTCGATCAAGGGCTGTATGTTTCGAGGGCTCAGGTTTGGAAAAGCCTTGGGCGTGAGGTTCTGAAGGAACCTGGGAGAGCTTGGTTGAGGTCTGCCGAAACCCGAACCAAACAAATAACTCGAGGAGGCAAGAATGTTTCCAGAGACGTTAGGCTGGCTGGAGGAGCAGGCAGTTTGCCCGTTGGGCACGAACGACCTTGCAGAAAGTAAATTCGCCCCAAACCTTACTGAACCGATCTGGAAACTTCTGTAGGCTATCAGCCTTGCTTACAATCTCACACAACCGCACGAAAAACTTGACGAAACACTACGCGAGATGAACCCCACATCCCCTCGGCCCACACAAAAAACATCACTTTCTTGAGGGGTGGACGGTTCTAGCCTGTCCTAGTAGGCGACCCGCTTAGTAAACTAAAAATAACTCCACTCTTGCTCAAGCTGGAGTTTTTTTCTAAGAGGCTCGCTACTTAGAAGGTCCAAGTTCTTCGTTCCAGTGACCGGATAGGACTGTCCCAGTTTTTCCGCGTCCCTGTCCCAGTTTTTCCGCGTCTTAGTCTCTCAGTTGTATTGGTTAACCTTTTTTCCCGTGTCGCTAGAGAGGACCACCACGAAGGATCCTACGATGATTGGACGAAGCGCATTACCACGTTCTTATCTGCCTGTACTCCGCGGTATTTCTAGCTAGAGCACCTCGTGATCTTCATCCGTACGCATCACCACTTACCCGACCAAAGGTGTTCCGCATTTGCCGCGAGTTTTTCCGAGACGGGCCATATTTTATCCTCCTGACGAGCCGTCAGAAAAATCACTACCATGGACCACATCGGGTCGTTGGCGAATCGAAAATATCCGCGAAGGCGACGCAACATCATCTGTTCCGCTCATTTCGTCTTACTGGCCGCTACTGTTTTCAGTCTCGGAACACGCGAGACCGTCAAAGCTGCGACAGACCCAGCTCAAGGTGAATCCTCTCCGTGCTTTTAACGGGAATAGCGACAGACTACAGTCTGACATCCATGGCGTCCTTTCCACGATAGTCGGGTATTCCGACCAAGAATCTCACAATCTCTCATGAGTCATGAGCACGCTGTTTAGTCGCGAATAGTCATCTGCGAACGTCGCTAAGGTCACTTTCGTCCTTGCGAGGATATGTAGCCCAGGCAAAGCTTCCCTCCCTTCTGTGTCGACTCAAAAGTCACCTCGTTTAGTCGAGAATGGTCATTTACAAGGTCACTTTCGTCCTTGCGACAATATGCAGCCAACGCAAAGAGTCTTTCCCGCCATGTCCTTTCCACCGCATTCCTTGCACGTATCCCTTCCACCGTGCCCTTTCCACGGGTCGCGTTCCGTCCATTTCGCGCCTGTGCGCGTCGCTCTTGGTGCTGCTAAGCCCTTTCTTGTTTGCAAACAAAGAGTGACCACGCGGTGGTTCTCACCACACGGATAACTTAGGCGGATGTAACCACCCTTATGATGGATGTAACCACCCTTCTGACGGATGTAACCACCCTTCTGACGGATGTAACCACCCTTCTGACGGATGTAACCACCCTTCTGACGGATGTAACCACCCTTCTGATGGATGTAACCGCCCTTCTGACGGATGTAACCACCCTTCTGACGGATGTAACCACCCTTTTGACGGATGTAACCACCCTTCTGACGGATGTAACCACCATTCTGACAGCCATTTGGCATCCTCGATTCCTTGCTGCCCACAAGTGCGTTCCTCCCTTCCAGTTGCCGTCCTTAGCACCATCCGACGGAGTTCGTACACTCCTCCGTTCTTTGAGTCGACTCAATCGCCTCGTTTCCTTCTTCCCGTCCCTCCCTCTCAGTCCCCGTCCTTCAAGGACGGAAAGTTTTAGCACCGTCACGGCTCCATCCCTCCTCTCCTCCATGTCTTGGGTCTACTCTAAGATTCCTTCGGTTCCTTCTGCGTTGCTCACTCCAAATGCCCGTCCTGAGACGAATCTAGAAATCTCTAACGAAACGGGTAAAACGGATAGACGCCCAGTTTTCCGTTCTTGAGGTCGGCCCGCTTGTTGGTTCTTCCTGAGCCACACCAACCTTCTCCCTACACCCCCCCTCTCTTCGACACCCTCTCCCCCTCTCCCTGTCTTCCCCATCACCCTCGTCCCATCTTCCCATCCTCCCCTCTCCCCCTCTTCCCCTCCTCCCCTCTCCCTTTCGTCCCTTCTCACCTTCTCCTCGTCTCCCTTTCTCGCTCTCCCCCTCGTCCCCTTCCCAGTGGCCGCTCTTCACACCATAGCTTCGTCCCTCGCCTCCTCCAACCCCTTCTTCCACGCCTGGGCTGGGAACGACCCTTGCGCTGCTGCCCCCGCTGCTGCTGCTGCTGCTGCTGCTGCTGCTGCTGCTACTGCTGTCCCTGCTGCTGTCCCCGCTGCTGCCCCCTCTGCCGCTGCTGCTGCTTCCATGCCTTGAGGCGCCTCAAAAGCTCTTTTATCTTTCCCTCGCCTCCTCTCCCCATTTTCCCCCTCCCAGTGGCCGCTCTGCACACCATAGCATCGTCTCTCACCTCCTCCAACCCTTCTTCCACGCCTGGTGGAAACGACTCCTTCTACCCCTTGTAACCTGTCTCCCTCTCCTCCTCTCCCATCTCCTTCCCTTCCCAGTGGCCGCTCTTCACACCATAGCATCGACCCTCGCCTCCTCCAACCCCTTCTTCCACGCCTGGTCTGGAAATGACCCTTGCGTCGCCGTTGCTCCTGGTGGTGGTGGTGGCGGTGGTGGCGGTGGTGGTGGTGCTGCTGCTGGTCCCAGCAGCAAGGGCTGGCAGGGGGTTACCTGTGAGAGTGACGGTTCGGGCAACCATGTGGTTACAGCGCTGTGAGTGGTTACATCTGTATGAGTGGTGACATTTCTGGTCATATCGCTGTCAGCCGCTCCAAGATTTCTTTCACCTCCTTGCCAAACTTCACAACATTCACCTCGTCCTTGCTGGTCCTCTCACCCCTCTCATCTTCCTCTCACCCCTCCCAAACCAACTGCCCCCATCCTCCTCTCCCCTCCATTTTCCACTCTGCTTTTGATTATATCCGTCTCCTACTTCGGTCCTATAAGCTGTACCTTCCCCCCGCCCCTCACCCTCCCACTCCCCTTTCCACTGCTCCTCTTCCGCTTCCCTTCTTCTCACACCCTCCCTCACTCCCCCGAATCTCTTCCCCCACTATTCGTGTTGGCAGGACACTGCAAGGGTTGGGACTTTCCGGGCAGCTTCCGCCAGCTCTCTTCGAGCTAACGGCACTCAAAAGCCTGTACGCCTTATAGTTCGGCTCGTTTACACTCCTTCTGACAGGCTTTTAGGCACAGCCTGTGGCCCGTTAGTAGTTTCTCAGAAGCTCGTACGCATTATAGACCGCCTCATTTATACCCCTTCTGACGGGCTTATAGGCACAGTACTTGAACCTCTGTACGTGCTTGTAATCGTACGCAAGATGTAGCTCTTTAGTTGAGCTATCCTGTAACCGCAGCGGAAGCCAACTCGGTCGGTACTGAGACGTCTCAAACTCTCTTTCGCTGCCCCTCCCGTCTCCCAGGGACATATCTCTCAACCCAGCTGTCACAGGCTGCATATACAGCACCATCGGCTCATTTTTTAGTCGACTCATAACCTCATTACACTCAACCCAGCCCTCACAGGCTGCATTTACAGCACCATCGGCTCATTTTTTAGTCGACTCATAAACTCATTACACTCAACCCAGCCCTCACAGGCTGCATTTACAGCACCATCGGCTCATTTTTTAGTCGACTCATAACCTCATTACACTCAACCCAGCCCTCACAGGCTGCATTTACAGCACCATCGGCTCATTCTCCGACCTCTGAGGCTCTCTTTCTGGCCTCTCTCCTTCTCCCCCGCTGCCCTCTCTCCCCTCTCCTAGGGACATATCGCGCAACCCAGCCCTCACAGGCTGCATATACAGCACCATCAGCTCATTCTCCGACCTCTGAGGCGCCCGAGATGTCCCCTCGCCTGCTTCTCCCCTGCAATGTCTCCACCCACACCCGTTTTACCCTCTCCCCCCTCCCAGGGACATATCTCTCAACCCAGCGCTCACAGGCAGCATATACAGCACCATCAGCGCTCTTTCAGAACTCTCCATGCTGTGAGTTGGCGTTCCCCTCTTGATCCGGGTACCCTCTTGATCTTGTTGCTCTAGCGTTTATTTCACATACTGCCGTTTAGCCTTTCTGCCATAAGCAAACGGCAGCAGCAACATCATCTCCATGCTGTGAGTGAATATATGCTGTAATAAATCGCTCGCTTTTGCCGGTCCCTTACACTGTTACCACCTCTCTCTGCACCTTTCTCTACCGCACTTCACCGCACTTCAATGCGCTGGATCGGAAACACCAGGGACAAGCACGTACACAGACCGCCAATGCCCAACTCCCCTTCCCAATCCCACTTTCTCTCTTCTATATCCTCTTTTATCCCTCTCTACTGCAACCCACCGCACTGAATCTCATCCCACCAGGGACATGCACGGATGCAACCTGTCAGGATCCATACCTTCAACCATCAGCCTCTTAAGAAAGCTCAACTTCTTTGCTGTCAACAGCAACCAGCTCTCTGGCAGCATCCCTAGACAGGTGCGTACCATACTTCACCGCACTGCACCGCACTACACTACTCCCATCCCACCCCAGCCCTGCAACCATCGGCCTTGTGAGGAATCTCAACTTCTTTGCTGTCAACAGCAATCAACTCTCCAGCAGCATCCCTAGACAGGTACACACCGTATTGCACCGCACTGAACCACACCCATTTCTCAACTTCTTTGCTGTCAACAGCAATCAACTCTCCAGCAGCATTCCCAGACAGGTGAATACCTCACTGCACCATCCGCTCCTTTCCTGCTGCTGCAGGTGGCGAATCTAACAGACCTCTGGACATCACTGACAACACTAATAACACTAACAGCACTAACAACACTAACAGCACTAACAGCACCCAAGAAAAATTTTTGCCTAACTGCATACTCCTTCGTCTCATCTTCTTCCCGCACCCTCCTCCCCTCCTCCTTCTTGCACAGGTGGCGAATCTAACCAACCTCTATTTCTTTGACATCAGACAACCGATACCACAGAAACTATTGTGTTTGAATCCTTTTGCCCTCCTTTCATCCCTCTCGCACTCCCCCCGCCTACTGCAGGTGGCGAATCTAACCAGCCTCTATTTCTTTGACATCACAGACAACAACATCTCAGGGCCTGTGCCCGTCCAACCGGGATTCGACACGTGTACCAGCATCGGCCACCTGTGCGTACCCCCCCTTGCCTGGCTCCCTCTCCCTTGGTTGCTTCTCGCCAAGACAACTAGAAACGTGTTGTCTTGTTGCTGACCTGCATAGCCTCTGGTCCTGTTGTTGTGAGTTTTGAGGCGCCTCAAAACTCACGCCAGCATGCATGCATTGCCTCTGGTCCTGTTGTTGCTTCTAGCCGGCCATTCTTGTCCGCATCTCCTGGCCTCTCTGCAAGAGTCGTCAGGGCACACCAGTGAAGCCTTCGCTCATCTCATCGTACCATCCCTCCTTTTCCTTCCACCATCCACCCATTCCGCCCTTCTTTTTCGGATTCTCCTTGCTCTTCCCCCCTGCCAGTCACCTGAGTCGCAACCAGCTAACATACGTTCCAGGGGAACTGGGACGCCTCCCAAACCTCATCCTAAATCCCGTCTTATTGCCCACCTCTCTTGCCCCCTGTTTCCTGCTCTGCGTTGACCTCCCTGCCTGCCAGTCACCTGAGTCGCAACCAGCTAACATACGTTCCAGGGGAACTGGGACGCCTCCCAAACCTCATCCACCTGTAAGCCATCCCGGTTGTGGCTGCGCTCCCAGCTGATATGGGGTGACTTTTGAGTCGACTCAAAAGTCTCCATACATACACACAAACGCGCATGCACGCACGCCTTCTTCAACTCACGCCCATTCTCATCTTCCGCCTCCTGCCCTTGTCTGTCCATCCCTGTCCCCCCCTCCACCCGCCGCCCTCGTCGACAGCAGCCGCCTCAACCAGACCTTTCAGGTCCATTCAGGTCCCGCCTTTCGTGTAGGGCTCGATTCCATTCAGGTCCCGCCTTTCGTGTCTGTAGGGCTCGATTCCATTCAGGTCCCGCCTTTCGTGTAGGGCTCGATTCCATTCAGGTCCCGCCTTTCGTGTCTGTAGGGCTCGATTCCATTCAGGTCCCGCCTTTCGTGTAGGGCTCGATTCCATTCAGGTCCCGCCTTTCGTGTCTGTAGGGCTCGATTCCATTCAGGTCCCGCCTTTCGTGTCTGTAGGGCTCGATTCCATTCAGGTCCCGCCTTTCGTGTCTGTAGGGCTCGATTCCATTCAGGTCCCGCCTTTCGTGTCTGTAGGGCTCGATTCCATTCAGGTCCATATATTTTTTCACCCCTGCCTGCTTACCCCTCCCCTTCTCCTCACCCACTCCCCCCATTCCCTGTCACTCTTCCCCGTCACCCACCAGCCTAGTGGACAACAACCGACTCAACCAGACCTTTCCGGCAGGCCTCAGTGGCTTTTTAGCAGGCTTTCTAGTCGACTCATTAGTCACCCCCTCCTTCCTCTCATCCCCCTCTTCCCTCCCCCCCACCCCACCAGCCTAGTGGACAACAACCGACTCAACCAGACCTTTCCGGCAGGCCTCAGTGGTTCCACCAGCCTGCAGATCATGTGAGAGACGTGATAGAAGAAGTGTTTTGAGACGTCTCAAGACCTTTCCGTGGCTCCAGCAGCCTGCAGATCATGTGAGGGCAGGCATAACTTTATGCTATGTCAGTAAACACACATATGATGAAAGCACGTTATGGATGCCTTGAGACTTGTGCTCTCTGCCTGTCGGGAATTTGCTGAAAATGCTGTTAGTGACATGCGAGCTTCGCATACGTTGCAGGGATTTTTTGAGAAATCTCAGAAAATCGTGTGTGCTTCGTAAGCGTGTTATTTTTTTTTTTAATGGCGAATCGAAGTGGTCCTGTTTGAATTTAACAAAATCAGCTGATTGTGTTTCCTGTTTGCCCCTCTCGTCCTCGAATCACTGTGTGCCACGTGGCAGCCATCTGAGCAACAACACCGTTCAGGGCCGGCTTCCTCCGTCGCTCAACCTCCCAGCACTGCAAGACCTGTGAGTGCTCCAATCACAAAACTCCAAGTGTCCGCTCCTCAACCTCCTACCACCACCTCCATCCCCCGCTCCTCCGCTCCTCCATGCATGCATGCTCGACCCTGCACAACTGCTTCTTGAAACGCCTCAAAACTTCTTCACCATTGTCCCACCCCAGTTTCCATACCACCCTCTAACTCAGCAGCCACGCACCCCCCTTCCCTCACTGCATCCCTTCCCCCTCTCCCCCTTCCCCCTCTCCCCCTTCCCCCTCTCCCCCTTCCCCCTCTCCCCCTTCCCCCTCTCCCCCTTCCCCCTCTCCCCCTTCCCCCCCTCCCCTCCATACACACACGCAGGTCGATGCACAACTGCTCCATGCAGCCCCAACCACTGCCGCCTTTGACAGGCCTCCCATCACTCTGCTACCTGTACGCCCTCCCCTACTCTCTCCACACTTCATCCTCTGACGTCTATGAGTCTGTAAACATTGTTTCTTCGACAGACATTTATCCGCCCCCCTCTAGTTGACTTTTGAGCCGACGCCTAAACTCTCCACACATGTGAATTTTACTTTTGAGAATTCTCAAAAGTAAAGCTCCATTCTCTGAAATATCTGAGTCTATAAGCCCTTGTTTCTTCGACAGTCATTTATTCGCCCCTCTCTGCCTCCTGCCCTTTCTCCTCTTTCCTCTTCCTTGACCTCTTCACAGCGATTCTAGTCACACCATCGTTCATATTCCTTTCTTTCATCCCCCTCTGCCTCTTACCCTCTTTCGTCTCCCTCCTCTGCTCTCTCCTTTCAAAAATTTGACTCACAATAATTTTTTAGGCGCCAAAAAAATGACTCACAACAACATCCATGCACGCGCCGCTCCTCCCTTTTCCCACCTTGTTCTTCCCCCTTTTCGCCACCGAGCTTTGAGGTGCCTCAGAGCTTGTCACCATGTTCTGCTCTTTAGTCCCAATGTCAAACCCTCTCGAGGTGACTTTCGAGTGGACTCAAAAGTTAGAACTTGTCACCATGTTCTGCTCTTTGCTCCCAATGTCAAACCTTCTGAGTCGACTCAAAAGTCATCGCGCTTTGAGTTTCCTCAGAGCTTGTCACTATGTTCTGCTCGTTAGTCCCGCTGTCAAACCCTCTCCCTTGACTTGAACCCCTTTCGCGATTTGAGTTGCCAACACCTTTTATAGCTCCCTATCCCTTGCCCTATTCAACACTCATTTGCAACCTCCCCCCCCCCCCCCCCCCACCCCCACCTTTTCCCCCCTCCCCCCACCTTTTCCCCCCTCCACGCACCTTTTCCCCCTTCTCCCCACCTTTTCCCCCCTCCTCTCGCCCTCTGCCCACTCTACTACCTAACCTCCCCTCACAACAGACAAACTTCCAAAGCCTGCTGCCCCGTGCCCTATCAACAATCATTCGCAACCCCCCCTTGCATTCCCTCCTCCTCCCTCCCCACTTGCCGTTTTGCCACTTCCAGCGATTTGAGTCGAAACAACTTCCAAGGCCCCCTGCCCCTTGCTCTCTTCACCATGCACCCCGCCTCCCTCTCTTTCTTGCCTCTCGTCTCCCTTCCACCCCTCTCAGGGATTTGAGTCGAAACAACTTCCAAGGCCCCCTGCCCCTTGCTCTCTTCACCATGCACCCCGCCTCCCTCTCTCTCTTGCCTCTCGTCTCCCTTCCACCCCTCTCAGGGATTTGAGTCGAAACAACTTCCAAGGCCCCCTGCCCCTTGCTCTCTTCACCATGCACCCCGCCTCCCTCTCTCTCTTGCCTCTCGTCTCCCTTCCATCCCTCTCAGGGATTTGAGTCGCAACAACTTCCACGGCCCCCTGCCCCTTGCTCTCTTCACCACACACCCTGACCTGGTAACCCTGTGAGTGCACCATGCATTGCACCACGTCTTACCCCGTTTGCCTGCCTTAGCTCTCTCACCTTGCCTGACGAGCATGCTCCAAGCCCCTGAAATGCTGCACATGTCAAGACATCCCCATCCCCATCCCCATCCCCATCGCCATGCCAGCATGCTCCAAGTCTCTGCAGTGCTGCACATGTCAACACATCCCCATCCCCCCACGTGCTCCCCTCCCTTCCCTCCCCTCCCCCGCATGCACCTCTTGTGCGCATCGCCTCGCAGCAATCTCGCCCTGAACCATCTCAATGGCAACCTCCCTCCCGGGCTGCCATCAGCCAACCTCACACGCCTCCACTCCATGTGAGACCCCATCACTCTCATTTCATCCCATCCCATACACCATACCACTCTCACTACTCACACTTTCAACCTAAAAACATCTACGGATCAGCCTTTTCCCTCCCATGCTCTCATCCGCCAACCTCACATGCCTCCTCCACTCCATGTGCGACCCCCCCTCTCTCATACGCCACTCCCATGCTCTGTTCTTCTGCTGTCGCCTTTTCTGCTGCCACCTCTCCTGCGACCCCGTTTCCTGCTGCGCAATCCCCTTCTACTCCCGTTCCTACCTTATCCCTTCTCTTCGTTCACCCAGTATGCTATCACACAACGATCTCACACGCCCTGTGCCTCCTCGAGTTGACTTTTGAGTCGACTCAAAAGTCTTATCCCTTCTCTTCGTTCACACAGTATGCTATCACACAACGATCTCACACGCCCTGTGCCTCCTCGAGACACGCTCCCTGTCCTGCTTCCCTCTCTCACCCCCTCTCCTTTCCCCACATCTCCCTCTCTCCCCTGCCAGTATGCTATCAGACAATAATCTCACGGGCCCTGTGCCTCCTCTAGACGCGCTCCCTGCCATCTCCACTATCTCACTCTTCCACAACCACTTCACCCGCGCCCAAGCTGGCCTCTTCCCTGCTTTCCTCTCCATCCCTCTCAAAACCTCCCCACTCCCCTTGCCTCCCCTCCCAGTATGCTATCAGACAACAACCTGACGGGCCCTGTGCCTCCTCTAGACATGCTCCCTGCCATCGCCACCATCTCCCTCTTCGATAACCACTTCACCCGCGCCCCTGCTGCTCTGCTCAGCAACGAAAACGTCACTCTGCAGTGAGTTGCGACAAACACCTGGTCGCGCATTCTCTCACCCATCCTCTCATTCACTTGCTCACCGCATGACAACCACTACACCCGTGTGCCTGCTAGTTTTGAGGCGCCTCAAAACTAGAACATGACAACCACTACACCCGTGTGCCTGCTGCTCTGCTCAGCAACAAAAACGTCACTCTGCAGTGAGTTTTGACTCAACCCTCAGATACTCAACCCGTGCGCCTGCTGGCTCGCTCACTCACTTTGTCACCAGTGAGCCTTCTTTTCCTCCTTCCATCCCCTCCCTCCAGGCTATACGGCAACGACCTGTGTGTGCCCTACCGCCCTGCAGTCACCGCTGCCTGCTCGCCTCCTCTCGGCTTCATGCAGTACCAGCCCCCTCCCATTTGCAACGACCTCTCCTGCCCCTCTCTCTACGCGCCCAGCCCACCCCTGCTGGCGCTCACCAACGCCTGTGTGTGCGTCTCGCCGCTGGAGGTGGAGTTGAAGCTCACTGCGCCGCAGTATGCGGTGTTTAATGATGAACTCGCGAGTCTGCTTGTAGAGAGGATTGCGGGGAGCTTAGGGAAGAACGGAATCGGCATATCGACGGGGCAGGTAGGTTAGGTAGGAGCAGGTGGGAGTGTCGGTAGGTGGGAGTGTTGGCAGGTGCATTTTGAGGGGACCCAAAACACGCCGGCAATACCATGTTGGCATGTGAGAGTGCTGGCAGGTGCATTATGAGTCGAAATTGCACCTACGTTGGCAGATACGCCCTGGGCAGGGTTGCGTACCACGTATATACGCTTGCGTATATACGTGGTACGCTAATACGCTCGTATTTCTTGGAAATACGCCCGGGCAGCCCGCCGAAAAAAAAAATCGAAATTGAAAAATTTCGCGAAGGTTTTGCGACTTGGCGATTTGTTACCGCGCAGTCGCATATCGCCCTGGGGGGGGAAGGAGAGGATGCAGTTCTGGCGGATGAGTATGGGGCAAGGGTGGTGTTGGAAAAGCCCCGCAAGGAACTCGGCTGTGTGGAGGCTAGCTAGAGGGTGGGGTGGGGATGTATGGGGTGGGGAGAAGTAGCCCCAAAGATGTATCTCTGGATAATTATGAAATTAAAAAACATGTGTTTTTGGGAAACATAACCCGCCCCCCTGAAACAGGTTTTTTTAGCCCTGCCCGGGAAAAAAGTTTTACCTGCCCGCCCGGCGTATTTTTACGTATCACCAGTACGCCACCCCTAGCGTACCGCGTATATACCCAGCGTATAATACGCTAGCGTATTATACGTGATACTCGTATCTGCCAACGTAGAATTGCACACCGGCAAAACACACCGGCATTGGCATCTCGTCGGGACAGGTAGGTTGGGAGGTAGCAGACGGGAGGGTTGGCAGGTGGGAGTGTTGGCAGGTGAATTTTAATAGGCGGGTTCTGTGATAGGTAGGCACTGTGATAGGTGGGAGACAGGTAGGATTGGTGGCTAGTGTGTTCCCCTTTTTCACCTTCTCCCCTCCACCCACACCCCCCCACCCACACATTAGATCGCCATACAGTCAGTCACCGGGTCGAGCCTCTCACGTGCCACTACTCGCTTCTTCCCTTTCCTCCTCCTCCCCCCGCTTCCCCCTCTCCTCCCCCTTTCCCCCCCACGCAATCCTTCCCACCAACCCCCCCATGGCAGATCGCCCTAGTGTCAGCCAGTCTCCAACTCAATCTTCTCTCCTTCCACTTTCCCCAGTTTCCTTTCTTCGCCTTTCCTCCTCTTTTTGTTCGCTTCGTCCCACCCCATCGCAACAGATCGCCATAGTATCAGTCACCGGGTCTATCCTCTCCCCTTCCACCATCAGCACCTCCATCCGCTTCTTCCCCATTACCCCTTCCCCCTTCATTCTCCCCCACTCCCCCCACCCCAACCCCCACAACAGATCGCTATTGTGTCAGTCACCGGGTCCATCCTCTCCCCTTCCACCATCAGCACCTCCATCCGCTTCTTCCCCCCACCCTCCTCCTCCTCCTCTGCTGCTACCAGCACACCTGCCAGCAGCAGCAGCAGCACTAGCAGCAAGATCAGCAGCAGCTACGACAGCAGCAGCAGCTACGACGGCAGTAGCAGCTACGGCAGCAGTAGCAGCAGCAGCAGCGCTAGCAGCAGCAGCGGCACTAGCAGCAGCAGCAGCAGCAGCAGCAGCAGCACCGCCACCAACACCCCTGACAGCAACAACAACAGCAGCAGCAGCAGCAGCAGCACGAGCAGCTCTGAGTGGCAGCAGGCGCAGGAGATAAGGGAGGCGTTTGTGTGGCACAAGGTGCTGCTGGGGACGGACTTTGGGCCTTACACTGTCGAGGCCATGTATGGGCCAGGTGAGACCTGGGGGAGGTGGAAACTGGGATAGGTAGGTCTGTATGGGGCAGGTGAGAGGAGGGAGCAAGCAGCAGCATGACCGCTGGGGGCAGCGGCATGACCGCTGCTGTTATTGTGGGCTATGTGGTGGGGGGAGTGGTAGCCCCCTCTTTCATTGCTCTGCTCTCTCACACCCCTTTAATCTGCTCTTTCCGAATGCCCTCTCTCTCACCCATTCTCCTTCCATGCGCATTCTCCTTCCATGCGCATTCTCCTTCCATGCGCATTCTCCTTCCATGCGCATTCTCCTTCCATGCGCATTCTCAACCCCCACCCCCCCTCCCCCCATCCGCCCCCTGATCCTCCCCCTCTTCCCCCCCCCTCCTCCATCCCCCAGCTCCCCCACCAACCCCCCCAGTGGCGCCTGCTGGGGGAGGGGGCATGACGACTGCTGCAATCGTGGGCATCGTGGTGGGAGGAGTGGTGCTCCTAGCTCTCATTGCTCTGCTGCTCGTGTGGCTGCTGCTGCAAAGGAACAGAAACAGAGGTGAGCCAATGGAACCTACTATTGAGAAGTCTTAAGAGAGTTTTTTTGTTTTGATATGTCTCAAAACCTGATCGAGTGGCTGGTGCTGCAAAGGAACAGAAACTAAGGTGAGCCAATGGAACCTACGTTCGGTCTTGCAGCCGTGTAACAGCACGGTAGCGACTCTTTAGTATGCTGCGTTGCCAGAGCAAAGCCGCGGAATTCTCAAGACTGAATCCAGCATAGCCAGCTTTTGAGAGGTTGTGTGCCCGTGTAATATAGTAAAAAAAATTTTTTGTGAATGGTGGAGTTTTGAGGAGTGCAGGGCGGTCGATGGGGTAACATGCGTGGTGCAATCTGGGGCAGCAGCGCGTGCTCCTCACATCTCCCACTCCTCCCCTCGCTTGTGCTCTCCTGCAAAATCAACAGCAACAACAACACCAACAGCAACAATGTTCATACCTGTGGAGTTGGGAGTACAACTCCACAGGTATGAACATCAACGGCTGTACAAGGTGACAGAGAGGCTGCAGATGCTTGGCATGTGCACTACCTTCCCCTCCCCATCCCTCCCCGTCCGCCCCACCTCACCTTAATTCCTGGATCATATTTGACCTGTGGAGCTCGGATGACTAAAGCCGATACTGCGGGTTCACCGGTGTACTCTGCATCCCTCCCCACCCCTCCCCACTGCTTCCCACCTCCCTTACATCATCAGATCAGACCTTTGGAGCGTGGACAACCACAAGGCGAGGGACTGCGGGCACTGGGCGTGCGCCGGTGCAAGCTGAGACAATGTTTGATCCCCACCCGTCCTCATCCCTCCCCACTCCTGCCAACCCCTCCTCACCCCTCCCCACCCTGTCAACTTCAGACGTGTGGAGCTCAGAGGACTACAAGGCAATAGAAGGGCTGCAGGCGCTGGGAGTGCACCGGTGCAAGCTCAAGGAGATTTCCACCTACCGCTCCCCCCAGCACGCCCCGCCCCTTCCACCTAGCATCGCGCCCTTCCTCCCCACCCATCGCGCCATTTCCTACATGATCAGACCTGTGGAGCTCAGAAGACTATAAGGCGATAGAGGGGCTGCAGGCGCTGGGCGTGCACTGGTGCAAGCTGAGTTCATATGTGCTGCCCACACCTTCCCATCCCTCCTCACCCCTCCCCAACCTTCCCCACCCATCTTCACCACTTTCCATCGCTTCCCACCTCTGTGTTCTCCTGAACTTTCAGACCTGTGGAGTTCGGAAGACTACGAAGCAATCGAGGGGCTGCAGGCGCTGGCCACTGGTGCCGCTCAGTCTGAGGCAATAAGTGCTCTCCACCTATCCCCACCCATCCTCACACTTCTCCACCCCTCCCAACTTCTCCTCACCCCTCCCCATTCCGCCATGATCAGACCTGTGGAGTTCTGAAGACTACAAAGCAATAGAGGGGCTGCAGGCTCTGGGGGTGCACCGGTGCAAGCTGAAGGAGATAGCCGACGCCACCCAGGGGTTCAAGACGCTGCTGGGGGAGGGCGGATACGGACAGGTATGTAAGGGAGAGGTAGGTAGGTCTGTGGGGAAGCCGATAAGGTATGTGCAAGCTCAAGGAGATAGCCGACGCCACCCAGGGGTTCAAGACGCTGCTGGGGGAGGGCGGATACGGACAGGTATATCTGTGAAGGGGCGGAGCATGGGGCGGGTACATCTGTGAGGGGGCGGAGTATGGGCCAGGTGTACCTCTCCTACACAGTTGGGATATGGTAAAGTTTTGACCATGCCTTTCCTCACGTCTCTGCTCACCACACCCTTTTTCTCTCCCCACTTCTCTGCTCCTCGAATTTGAACCATCCTCAGGTGTACCGAGGAGTGCTCGAAAATGGAGATGTGGTGGCAGTGAAACGAGCCAAGGGGCATGTGAAGGTAAGCCAGGAACACTCTCAGGCGGCCCTTCAGGTGGATGATGAATCTTCAGGTGGATTTTCAGGTGGATGATGAATCTTCAGGTAGATCATCCGATGATTTTCCATGTGAGCCAGTGATGTACTCAAAGCGACGTTGATTGTTTAGGTGTCTAGACCAGACGTCTCCTATGGATGCTGACACGTCAGCAGCTCGTCTGCCCAAGTAGGGTTCAGGAAAGATCAGTTGCGGCTGCAACCGATCCAGCTTCTCTCAGCACTGCGCCATTGCAACCCGGTGACTCTCTCTCAAGGGTTTCTGTGTCTCTCCAACCCTCCCCGTTTCTCCCGTTCCCCACTCACATTCCCTTCCCCAGTTATGCAGCACTGAGTTCCGCAACGAGATCCAGCTGCTGTCTGCCGTGCGTCACCGCAACCTCGTGGCTCTCAAGGCCTTCTCTGTCCCTCCAACTCACTTACCCCCCTCCGCCCCCCTCTGTACCTGCCCCATCCTCCCACCAGCTATGTGGCACTGAGTTCCGCAACGAGATCCAGCTGCTGTCTGCCGTGCGTCACCGCAACTTGGTAGCGCTGAAAGGGTTCTGTGTGGAGGCGGGAGAGCAGCTGCTGGTGTATGAATTCATCGAGAGGGGCACCTTGGAAGACATGCTGAGAGGTACATGTGCAAGTGGTATCGGATGTAGCGTTAATGCGTCCCGGCGGCTCTCTGAAAGGGTTCTGTGTGGAGGCGGGAGAGCAGCTGCTGGTGTATGAATTCATCGAACGAGGGACGTTGGAGGATATGCTGAGACGTGAGTATCAAGGGGGAGTGAAGTAAAGGACTAGGGGGGGGGATGATCGGTGACCTGTAGGGCTTGAGTGTGGAGGCACACGAGCAGCTGCTGGTGTAAGAATGTATCGAGAGAGACACGTTAAAGGATATGCTGAGACGTGAGTATCAAGGGGCAGTAAAGGACTAGGGGGAGTGAAGGACTAGGGGGAATGATCCGTGGAATCAAGTGGGGGCTTGAGTGTGGAGCAGGTGCTGGTTGGTGTATGTATTCATTGGGAGAGGCACGCTGGAAGATCTGCTGCGAGGTATGTGGCACTAAGTGAGGGTGCCACCCCCCTTAGCAGGGTATTGGAGCACTGAGGAGGAAGGGGGGAGGGAGGGGATGATACCACCTGATGGTGAGTGCTCTCAATGGCTTCTTCTGTGTGGAGGCGGGCGGGCAGCTGCTGGTGTATGAATTCATTGAGAGGGGAACGCTGGAAGATATGCTGCGAGGTGAATAGAACTGGTGTGGTGATCGTATCAGCTGCCGTAGCGTTGATGCCACCTGGTGCAGCAGGGAGAGGGCAGCTCACCATCGCAGTCCCTAGTAAAGTAATCCCCCGGTGCCATAGCGTTGATTGCATTCGTCCCCCGCTGCCTCCTGCCCCACTAGTAAAGTAATCCCCCGGTGCCATAGCGTTGATTGCATTCGTCCCCCGCTGCCTCCTGCCCCACTAGTAAAGTAATCCCCCGGTGCCATAGCGTTGATTGCATTCTTCCCCCGCTGCCTCCTGCCCCACTAGTAAAGTAATCCCCCGGTGCCATAGCGTTGATTGCATTCGTCCCCCGCTGCCTCCTGCCCCACTAGTAAAGTAATCCCCCGGTGCCATAGCGTTGATTGCATTCTTCCCCCGCTGCCTCCTGCCCCACTAGTAAAGTAATCCGCCGGTGCCATAGCGTTGATTGCATTCGTCCCCCGCTGCCTCCTGCCCCACTAGTAAAGTGATCCCCCGGTGCCATAGCGTTGATTGCATTCTTCCCCCGCTGCCTCCTGCCCCACTAGTAAAGTAATCCCCCGGTGCCATAGCGTTGATTGCATTCGTCCCCCGCTGCCTCCTGCCCCACTAGTAAAGTAATCCCCCGGTGCCATAGCGTTGATTACATTCTTCCCCCGCTGCCTCCTGCCCCACTAGTAAAGTAATCCCCCGGTGCCATAGCGTTGATTGCATTCTTCCCCCGCTGCCTCCTGCCCCACTAGTAAAGTAATCCCCCGGTGCCATAGTGTTGATTGCATTCGTCCCCCGCTGCCTCCTGCCCCACTAGTAAAGTAATCCCCCGGTGCCATAGCGTTGATTGCATTCGTCCCCCGCTGCCTCCTGCCCCACTAGTAAAGTAATCCCCCGGTGCCATAGCGTTGATTGCATTCGTCCCCCGCTGCCTCCTGCCCCACTAGTAAAGTAATCCCCCGGTGCCATAGCGTTGATTGCATTCTTCCCCCGCTGCCTCCTGCCCCACTAGTAAAGTAATCCCCCGGTGCCATAGCGTTGATTGCATTCGTCCCCCGCTGCCTCCTGCCCCACTAGTAAAGTAATCCCCCGGTGCCATAGCGTTGATTGCATTCGTCCCCCGCTGCCTCCTGCCCCACTAGTAAAGTAATCCCCCGGTGCCATAGCGTTGATTGCATTCTTCCCCCGCTGCCTCCTGCCCCACTAGTAAAGTAATCCGCCGGTGCCATAGCGTTGATTGCATTCTTCCCCCGCTGCCTCCTGCCCCACTAGTAAAGTAATCCGCCGGTGCCATAGCGTTGATTGCATTCGTCCCCCGCTGCCTCCTGCCCCACTAGTAAAGGAATCCCCCGGTGCCATAGCGTTGATTGCATTCTTCCCCCGCTGCCTCCTGCCCCACTAGTAAAGTAATCCCCCGGTGCCATAGCGTTGATTGCATTCGTCCCCCGCTGCCTCCTGCCCCACTAGTAAAGTAATCCCCCGGTGCCATAGCGTTGATTGCATTCTTCCCCCTCTGCCTCCTGCCCCACTAGTAAAGTAATCCCCCGGTGCCATAGCGTTGATTGCATTCGTCCCCCGCTGCCTCCTGCCCCACTAGTAAAGTAATCCCCCGGTGCCATAGCGTTGATTGCATTCGTCCCCCGCTGCCTCCTGCCCCACTAGTAAAGTAATCCCCCGGTGCCATAGCGTTGATTGCATTCGTCCCCCGCTGCCTCCTGCCCCACTAGTAAAGTAATCCCCCGGTGCCATAGCGTTGATTGCATTCTTCCCCCGCTGCCTCCTGCCCCACTAGTAAAGTAATCCCCCGGTGCCATAGCGTTGATTGCATTCGTCCCCCGCTGCCTCCTGCCCCACTAGTAAAGTAATCCCCCGGTGCCATAGCGTTGATTGCATTCGTCCCCCGCTGCCTCCTGCCCCACTAGTAAAGTAATCCCCCGGTGCCATAGCGTTGATTGCATTCTTCCCCCGCTGCCTCCTGCCCCACTAGTAAAGTAATCCGCCGGTGCCATAGCGTTGATTGCATTCTTCCCCCGCTGCCTCCTGCCCCACTAGTAAAGTAATCCGCCGGTGCCATAGCGTTGATTGCATTCGTCCCCCGCTGCCTCCTGCCCCACTAGTAAAGGAATCCCCCGGTGCCATAGCGTTGATTGCATTCTTCCCCCGCTGCCTCCTGCCCCACTAGTAAAGTAATCCCCCGGTGCCATAGCGTTGATTGCATTCGTCCCCCGCTGCCTCCTGCCCCACTAGTAAAGTAATCCCCCGGTGCCATAGCGTTGATTGCATTCTTCCCCCGCTGCCTCCTGCCCCACTAGTAAAGTAATCCCCCGGTGCCATAGCGTTGATTGCATTCGTCCCCCGCTGCCTCCTGCCCCACTAGTAAAGTAATCCCCCGGTGCCATAGCGTTGATTGCATTCGTCCCCCGCTGCCTCCTGCCCCACTAGTAAAGTAATCCCCCGGTGCCATAGCGTTGATTGCATTCTTCCCCCGCTGCCTCCTGCCCCACTAGTAAAGTAATCCCCCGGTGCCATAGCGTTGATTGCATTCGTCCCCCGCTGCCTCCTGCCCCACTAGTAAAGTAATCCCCCGGTGCCATAGCGTTGATTGCATTCTTCCCCCGCTGCCTCCTGCCCCACTAGTAAAGTAATCCGCCGGTGCCATAGCGTTGATTGCATTCGTCCCCCGCTGCCTCCTGCCCCACTAGTAAAGTAATCCGCCGGTGCCATAGCGTTGATTGCATTCGTCCCCCGCTGCCTCCTGCCCCACTAGTAAAGTAATCCCCCGGTGCCATAGCGTTGATTGCATTCTTCCCCCGCTGCCTCCTGCCCCATTAGTAAAGTAATCCCCCGGTGCCATAGCGTTGATTGCATTCTTCCCCCGCTGCCTCCTGCCCCACTAGTAAAGTAATCCCCCGGTGCCATAGCGTTGATTGCATTCGTCCCCCGCTGCCTCCTGCCCCACTAGTAAAGTAATCCCCCGGTGCCATAGCGTTGATTGCATTCGTCCCCCGCTGCCTCCTGCCCCACTAATAAAGTAATCCCCCGGTGCCATAGCGTTGATTGCATTCGTCCCCCGCTGCCTCCTGCCCCCCTAGTAAAGTAATCCCCACGAGTATTGATTTGACTCTCCTGATTTTTCGGACAGAGAAGGGTTTGAACCTCCAGTCGTGGGTTTCTGAGACGTCTTAGAAACCTCTCCCTCCCTCTTCTCCTCGTCTTAGAAGCCCCCTTTTGTTCTCCTCTTCTCCCCGCTCCCCCTCTGTGCGAAACCAACAGCCAACTCGAAGCACCAGTTGACATGGCGGCAGCGAGTCAACATCGCATGTGGGGCAGCCAGTGGGTTTGCGTACCTGCACCATCAGATCAAGCCCCCTATTATCCACCGCGATGTGAAGGTGAGTCTGGTGGGAACATACATGCATACATACATGCATACATGCGGCATACATGCATACATACATGCATACATGCGTGCATACATGCGTGCATACATGCGTGCATACATGCGTGCATACATGTGTGCATGCATGCGCGTGTCGTGTGTGTGAGACGTGTTCATTTTATATGTTCGCATTCAAGCTTGCATTACCTGTGGCGCGGCCTGTGGAATTGCGTGTGCGCTGCAGCAAGATGCGTGCTTGCATGCTCATGTGCGTTGGACATGTGCACGCAATGCAGACTTTTGAGTCGACTCAAGAGTCAGCTTGTTGGACATGTGCACGCAATGCAGACTTTTGAGTCGACTCAAGAGTCAGCTTGTTGGACATGTGCACGCAATGCAGACTTTTGAGTCGACTCAAGAGTCAGCTTGTTGGACATGTGCACGCAATGCAGACTTTTGAGTCGACTCAAGAGTCAGCTTGTTGGACATGTGCACGCAATGCAGACTTTTGAGTCGACTCAAGAGTCAGCTTGTTGGACATGTGCACGCAATGCAGACTTTTGAGTCGACTCAAGAGTCAGCTTGTTGGACATGTGCACGCAATGCAGAGTTTTGAGTCGACTCAAGAGTCAGCTTGTTGGACATGTGCACGCAATGCAGACTTTTGAGGCGACTCAAGAGTCAGCTTGTTGGACATGTGCACGCAATGCAGACTTTTGAGTTGAGTCAAGAGTCAGCTCGTTGGACATGTGCACGCAATGCAGACTTTTGAGTCGACTCAAGAGTCAGCTTGTTGGACATGTGCACGCAATGCAGACTTTTGAGTCGACTCAAGAGTCAGCTTGTTGGACATGTGCAGGCAATGCAAGTGGAGTAACCCTACCTGCACCATCAAATCAAGCCGCCCATTATCCCCCCATCCCTCTTCCTTTTCCTCCCTCTTCCCCCCCTTAGCAGACGGCCAACATCCTCATCACAGCAAATCTTGAGGCAAAGGTGTCCGACTTTGGAATCTCCAAGGCTGAACGCATATGCTCCCTTCCCTCTGCCCCATTCCCCTTTCTTCCTCCTGTCCCCTGCCGTTTCCCCTCCTCCCCTCGCCAGACGGCCAACATCCTAATCCTTGCGGATCTTGAGTCTAGGTGTCTGACTTCGATATTTCCACGGCTGAAAAGCATGCTCGCCTCCCTGTCTCCTTCCCTCTCGCCTTCCTCATCCCCTTTCCCCCGTTTAACCTCCCCTACCATTTCCCCCCCGCCAGACGGCCAACATCCTCATCACAGCAGATCTCGAGGCAAAGGTGTCCGACTTTGGAATCTCCAAGGCTGAACGCATATGCTCCCTTCTCCCTGCCCCATTCCCCTTTCCTCCTGTCCCCTGCCATTTCCCCTCCTCCTCCCACACCAGACGGCCAACATCCTAATCACAGCAGATCTCGAAGCCAAGGTGGCTGACTTCGGTATTTCCAAGGCTGTACCTGAGGAGGCGGAGGGCGGGGGGAGGCTGGAGACGCAAGTGAAAGGCACTGTGGTGAGTGGAATGGGGGGAGGTTGAGGGGGGAGGGGATCTTGCTGTTAGAGCTGGACACTGGCCTTCGCCTGGTGAACAACGGAGAGCAGATTTAAAGGATTGTGATCCATAGGGTTACCATGCCATCTATCCATACATCGAGGTATCACGTATTGATATTGCGTATCTACCCAACCCCCCCCCCCACCACCACCCCTTTCCCCTTCCCACAGGGCTGTTTGGATCTGCAGTACTTCCAGAGCGATCTACTCACAGAGAAGAGTGATGTGTACAGCTTTGGCATCGTGTCGCTAGAGCTGGCCACCGGCCTCCGCCCCTCATGCTCCTCTCTCTCCCCCTTTGTCTTGTCACCGTTGATCCTCCACCACGGCTATCTGGACCCGCGTTACTTCCAGTCTGACCTGCTAACTGAGAAGAGCGACGTGTACAGCTTTGGAACCGTGCTGCTAGAGCTCGCCACTGGCCTCCGCTCCTCATGCTTCTCTCCCCCTTCTTGCCCCCTTTTACTCTTCCTCAGGGCTATTTGGACCCACAATATTTCCAAAGCGACCTGCTAACTGAGAAGAGCGACGTCTACAGCTTTGGAATCGTGCTGCTAGAGCTGGCCACTGGCCTCCGCCCGGTGACCGACGGGGAGCACATCAGACGGATTGTGATCGATAGGGTTACCAACGAGGGCGGCGTGAACAGTGTCATGGACCCGGTTTTGAAAGCCATGTGGGAGAAGGGGAGCGGGGAGGGGGGAGGAGTGGGCGGAGGAGCAGGGGGGGGAGCAGGGGGGGGAACAGGGGGAGGAGAAGGGGGAACAGAGGGCGGAGGGGAAGGGAGAGGTGGTGGGGGAGGTGGAGAGGTGGGGATGAGTGAGGGAAAGGCAATGGAGGAGACGTGTGGAAGCGAGGCCTTGGAGGAGACGTTTGAGTGGTTTGTGCGGCTGGCAATGCGGTGTAGCTTGAAGCAGGTTCAGAACCGACCGGACATGCAGCAGGTTTTGAAGGAGTTGGAAGGGATTAAGAGGCGGTTGAACTGGGTTTCTGCTTCCCGTGCTGCTGGTGCTGGTGATGCTGGTGGCTCTGCTGCTCCTGGTGGTGCTGCTGCTGCCGGTGTTGCTGGTGTTGGTGGTGGTGATAGTAACACGCGTGAGAATGGCAAAGGGTACAATATAGAAGGGGAGCCTGTGTGTGCGTCCAAGTCACAAACGAGTGACAGGTTCTGGAAGGAGATAGCTGCTGCGGCGTCAGGAGGGGCTGCAAGGGAGGATTGGGGTGAGGAGGATGAGGATGAGGACGTTTCGTGGTATGAGGAGCGAATGAAGCTGCAAGGAGGGAAGGGTGGGACGTCGAGCAGCGGTGGGGATGGGTTGAGTCCGGCAGTGACGTTCAGTGGGAGTGTGCATAAAAGAGACGTGAATCCCCGGTGAAAGGGTAGGGTTCGGTTAGGATGGGTGACACCTTCTACGGGGTGGTGGGGATGGGTTGATAGGGAGACAGAGAGGGTTCAGAGTAGTGTTGACATTCAGTAAAAGTGTTACGTTGCGTGAGCTGAATCTCAGATGAAAGGAGAGAAGAGTTTGTGGGAATGGGTGGGGGGGAGAGGGGAAGACGGGTAGACAGATGGAGAGGGGGGGGACTGGGAGGGGAGGTGTAGGCTGAGGGAGCGAATGGCCGCTTGGCAGCACAAGCAACAAAGGTGGGGTAGGGTTGTGTGGGGGGTGGCAGCGTGGGGTTGTCGGGCAGAGGTGGGGACAGGCTCAGTCTGATTATGACTTTCTGTTGAATTATATTGCATATCTTATAACTGCCTACAGCTAGCTAGTGTACTAGTTTAGGTATTAGCATCAATTGCTGGTGGTGTGCCCTCCCTTTTGCCCATTCCTATATCTTGTATTCATTCCATAGTGAAACCACTCTTTTGGCCAACTTCCCTCTCCATGGTTCTCCTTGCTGAACCTCTCCAAAACCCTAGTTCCTAATCTCCTAAGTTTCCTAACTACTATGGTTCTCAACATGGTATTAAGAGCTGGGTCCTTCTAAGGACCTTGTTATTTTTCATTCGCCATGGCTGCCATCGTTGCCATGGCGACCATTGCTGCGCCCTTCGAGGCGCTCGCCCGTTGCCTGCCCCGCGCTGAACGCCCCGTGCTACCCGCCCCACGCGCTGGTCGCCCCGTCCCGCGCGCTGTCGCGTCGCCCCGTCGCTGGTCGCGGACGCCAGCACCAGCGCCTCTGACCGTCGCTGACGCCAGCGCGAGCGCCAGCGACGTGCGCCAGCGCCAGCGACTGTCGCGAGCGCCAGCGCCAGCTCCAGCGCCGGTCCACAGCGCCAGCGCCAGCGTCAGCGCCAGCGCCAGCGGCATGCGCCAGCGCCGGTCGCGAGCGCCAGCGCCAGCAGCGGCCGCCAGCGCCCCTGCCATCGCCACCCCGCTCCCCGCCTCCGCACCTGCCGTCGCTCTCTTCTACGGTGGACGTTGCGGGGGGGAGGTGGCGAGGCTCGCGCCCGCGGCTACGGGGGTGCTTAAGCCCCCTTGAACCCTCCTGCCCCTCCCTAATCCTCCTCCTCATCGCTGCCCGTGCATCTGCAGTTCGTGCCGCGTTTGGGGGGGGGGGGGAAGAGGGTGTGGGGGTGGCGGGTATGTGCAGGCAGCCGCCTCCCCCTTCTCCTCCTCCTTCCGCTGCACTTCCTCTCCTCCTCCTCCTCTCCTCTCCTCCAGCCGCATCTCCTCCTCCTCTCCTCTCCTCCAGCCGCATCTCCTCCTCCTCTCCTCTCCTCCAGCCGCATCTCCTCCTCCTATCTCCTCTCCTCCAGCCGCATCTCCTCCTCCTCTCCTCTCCTCCAGCCGCATCTCCTCCTCCTCTCTTCTCCTCCAGCCGCATCTCCTCCTCCTATCTCCTCTCCTCCAGCCGCCTCTCCTTTGCTCTCCTCCTGTGCACCACCAGCAGCTTCCTCCTCCTCACCAACAGTTGTGTTTGCTCGTAGATGGCGAGCGACCAGCATCCTTCGCCCTCCGGCTATCCCAGCCCTCCTCCGCGCTCTCCGCGCCCTCCTCCGTCCTGGCGTTCACAGGTGCTGCCGGTCAGCCACCGCTGTTTCTGTGCCTATCCCAGCTACAGCAACCGCTCTCCAGGCGACCTGGTGCCAGGCACCACTAGCTATAGCCGTAGGCAGTTACGGGGGTGTGTTGAATTATATTGCATATCTTATAACTGCCTACAGCTAGCTAGTGTACTAGTTTAGGTATTAGCATCAATTGCTGGTGGTGTGCCCTCCCTTTTGCCCATTCCTATATCTTGTATTCATTCCATAGTGAAACCACTCTTTTGGCCAACTTCCCTCTCCATGGTTCTCCTTGCTGAACCTCTCCAAAACCCTAGTTCCTAATCTCCTAAGTTTCCTAACTACTATGGTTCTCAACACTTTCCCTGATGAAAAGGGGGTTGAGTGAGCTGATCTAGCACCAATTTAAGGCTTGCACCATACTCAGCAGCGTGGAGGGATGTATGGAGGGTGGGCAGAGATGAGGCAGAGCGTGGGGGGATGTATGGAGGGTGGGCAGCAGGGCAGCATGGGATGTCGGGCAGTGGTGGAGACAGGCTCAGTCTGATGATGACGTTCCCTGATGAGGGGGGTGAGCTGATCTAGCACCATTTAAGGCGTTCAGTTTCACAATAGTTATACTTGGCAGCTAGTTTCTGTGTGTGCAATGTTGTTGTTGTCAGCTAAGAAACGTCACGCAGCACAGTGTTCCGCTGTGGCAGTAGCAGTAACACCAGTACTGTTGAGCTACGTATCACTTGTTGTTCACTTCATATACCATAACCAGCTATAATATCGTATCTGTGTCTTTAGTCTTTTATCTCTTGATACACCTATTATATCAAAACACAAAGCAACAACTTCTTAGGCTATATCTTGCAAGGCGGAGTGATGCCATCCTGACAGGAAAATACCCCTTCTATAGACTACATACTACCTAGCACAAGTGCACATGACACATAAAATGCCTAGTCAGAACCTAACCTAATAAATTAGGCTAATTAAAGCGCCTGAGTTGGCTTGGATTGTTCAATCAGCCGTGTCAGCTTATCCTCTGATTCACTTGTAATCCAGCAGAATTGCTTTAGTGGCTGTGGCAGCGAATCATGTACACTCCACCACCTATTATGAGCCGCCTCATTAGCAAAGTCGACAAAATCGGGTATCAGCACGTTGCAATCAAATTCACGGTAACACCACCATGGCTTCATGCCAAGGTAGTGTATTGCGTGAATCTCCGAAGGGTCTTGTGAGAACCACCTGCTCTTCATGTCGATGATCGCTTGTTTCTTCACAGGGTCAGAGGTCCAGACGGGTTTGAGGGTGTTTATAGACTCTGGTAAGCGGTGCCACCAGGTGAAGACATTGTTCAAGAAGCCCTGGGGAGGGGGGAGGGAAGGTGGGAAAGGGAAGAGCGGAAGTGGTGATGGGGGGAAGAGGAGAAGTGGTGAGCTAGATATAAAAGGCGACAGGAGGTTGAATGGAACCATGTGGTTTAGGGAAAGGGATGGAGAAGGAGAGTGCACGCGGCGTAAGACATCACATCGCATCGCATCGCATCGCATCGCATCGCATCGCATCGCATCGCATCACATCACATCACACATGGTCTCACTCACCTGGTCCCCTCCGTTTGCCGATCGCACTCTCCCCAGATTCTCCATCAGCAGCTCCAACGTGCAATTTGACGGCTCCAGGACCATCACGCCCGAGTTGAAATCTGAGCCGTCGTTTCCGCGGGCGGAGATCTCGGGGTAGGAGAAGAGAAAGTCAACGCTGTTCAAGAGGAGCAGGTCCGAGTCAATGAAGACCAGCTTGGTGTACTCCGCCTGCTGCCACAGCCGCAGCTTGCTGGTGGGGGGGAGGGGGGCGTAGGGGGTCAATGGAGTCAACGAGAGTCAATAAGGAGCAGCTTGGCGTACTCCGTCTGCTGCCACAGCCGCAGCTTGCTGGAGGTGGTGGGGGCGGGTGGGGTCAAGAGGAGTGAATAAGTCAAAGCGAGTCAGCAGATGTTAGATTGAGTTAATAAGCCCAACAAAGACTGTGACAGTTTGTAGTAGCAGAATTGATGGGATGAATGAACATATTCATAATCAAAAAGTCGACAAAGCCAACACACACACACACACACTCACACACACACACACACACACACACACACACACACACACACACACACACACACACACACACACACACACACACACACACACACACACACACACACACACACACACACACACTCACACCTACCTCCACTCGATATGAGCACAAAAACCTGTAATTCCATTCGTTATAACTCCCATCGCGTGCGTTGGGGTTGCGAATCCTCTCAATCTCCTTCACCGTCCACCCCGCCCCTCTCAGCCCTCGTCTGCTCTCCTCTTTGATCTCCTTCGATACAAGCACAACCATCTCGTGCTTGCTCCCCGTCCTCCTTATGCTGTGCCCCAGTACTATTGCGCCGCACACATACCGCTCCGATGAGTGTAGCACTGTAGCATACGCGACGCGCTGGTTGGCTGAGATGGGGGGAGAAGGAAAGGAGGGGAGTTTAGAAGGGTGAATAGTCGGATGCATGTAAAGTAAAAAACTTAATGCGCTATGCGTTGCAATCGTGTCGTGCTACCTGACACATTGCTTCGGATTGACTGAGCCATGGCACATGATCCCAGGGGCTGTACACGTGTCAGCATGTCATTGGTCGTCAGGTTGTAGAGCCACGTGTCACCCTCCCGCGTCACGAGTCGCGAGCAGTGGAAGAGGTTGGGCGGCGGGCGGCAGGCGGAGAGTAACACCACTGGTAACCACGGCCGATTTGCCTGTTACAAGAGCGATAAGGGGAAGGGAATAGTATGAAGAGGAGAGTGATAGCAGTAAATGGAGAGCGGGTGAAGCGACGGGGAGAGTTTCAACATGGAAGGACTCCTTCAGGGACACTTTCGGGAAGGATTTGGGACCTCGGAAAGTAGCGATGGACCTTGTTTCTTCTTTCTTCTAAAGTACCTATCGCAAAGCATGTCGACACTTCTTACGCTGATGACGAAGCCTGCGATCGTTAGGAGCTGCTGTTGCCATCGAATATCCTTCGCCCAGGAATCTTTCGGCTCGTCGCAGGGTACGTGTGCGACAATTGCGTCGACGTCGCCCAGCCAATTCGGTCTTTCCGGCTCTGGAATTTCCGGGCAGGATGAGCGGGACTCGTTCACCCATACGGGGTACGCGTTGCTCCACGTCAGATTCTCGGGGACAGACGGAACGGGTAACTCGAGAAACTCGTAGCGCGAGAAGCCGTAACTTGAAAACTCACGACTTGTAACATTCGCCTCGAAGTTAAACGTCGCAATTTTCGCGAGGCGCAGTCGATTTTGTCGCTGAAACGAGTGCAGGGCCGCAAATCCCTGCTCGTAAACAGTCGTCGAACGATTTGTAGCATCGGACGGGCGGGAATGCGCCGCTAATACACGCTTAGTAGGCGAGTGCCTCGTAGGAGCCTCGCGAAAAAGGGAAGTTGCGATTTTTGGCCTCCGAAGGTTTTTCTGCGAGAAGATAGCGGAAATGTTGCGCGAAGTATCCAAAAAACAACGACCCGAAATCGCAACTTTCCGTACACAATTTGCGAAAGCGAAGACCAGCACCAAAAAGTCATCCGAAAGTGACGTGAACACAGCGCCCTAGGTTTCGCACGGTCAAGAAAAATTCCAAAAGGTGATGCGGAGTGGCATTTTCAAAGTGTGCAGATGTGCGAAGATCACGAAGGTGTTGACAGCCACGAAGGCATGCGAAGTTGAAAATGTGGATACAATGTTTTCGTGTTTTTTCCCAAACCTGAATCTGGGTGACGTGTGAAGCCAAACAATCTTTTACAACCAATCACGACCCTTCGGTATCTACATGTCAGCACACCAACACTTCACAATCAAACCCTACCTTCACGAATATGCTCGCCCCAGACTTCTACCCCGTACACCTGGCATACTTCGGTGCTGCTATTGGTCAGCCCAATTTCACATCGGACTCACAGCAAGCTCACGGTACCTGTATTTCTTCATTCTAGTTCCTTCTTCCTGCTCTGTTTTTGGACTCTAGCCTAGACTCTTCCAGTTGTGCCTGCTATTCCCCTCCGTTAGAGCGAATGTCTGAGACCGCCATTTGCGGGCCCACGGACCGTAATGAAGTTAGATAATGGTTTACGGTAACCACACGTTGACAAACTTAGGCGCTGTCGTTAACCACGCTCTCGCTTTGACGTCCTCTGTTTTCCATCTGTCTTCCAACCCTACCTTTTTTTTTCCCAATTGCGCCAACAGGTATTGACGGAAAATCTTGGCATCTGACAGATCGCTAGGCGCATCTTCTTGAGCCGCGCCATCAGCGTCGGCTTCACGGCGAGTGGCGCCATCACCATCGCGCTGCAGTAGCTGCGCGGGCTGCTGGGTGCACATCGTTCACGTGGTGCACTGACATCGACACGCAGCCGCCAAGGTTTGATACATCTATATTTTTCATGCTGTCTTTTTTCTTCGTGCTCTTCTTACAACCAAGTTTCTTCTGGTTGTTACTCAAAAACAATGTAAGCTTCGTTCTATTCCGTTAGAGACTACCAGTGTGCAGCATCCACTCGTCGGCATGATGGTGTTCGCGAACTGGTTATTACCAACTTGTACGAAAGCAAGCTCAGGTGCGTGCATAACAGCAACCTTGTGTGTGCAGGTTTCACAGATGCGAACGTCATCGCTACCTTTTTTTTCTTGCAGGAGTATATATTTCGAGAATCGCACATGCGTATTTTGCAGGGCGTACCTGTTACTGCAGGCTTGTCGTCAACCAGTATGCAGTATGTATATTTTTCAACTCTATTATTACTAACCCCAATGGTGAGTGTTGGAAATGCAACGTTGGTTTGCTGATAATAAATTTCCATGTCTGTTTTTCCCATTCACATGTTCTAACTTACATGTCTGTTAGTTTTTTCTTTCAGAGATGCAGGTCTAGAAACCTAGCAGTGCAGGATAAGTTAGGCGTAGGTGTAGAAACGAATGATGTGTACAGATTGTGTGCGTTGTGAATACTATGTATACAGTAAAGAGATACAAAATCATTACAGTAGAACTTCTGCTAATGTCGGGTCAAGCAAATGCGTCGCAAGAATTTTTGTAGGAATCGCCAGCCAATAGTAATATGTTACTGAACACCAAATCGCCGGCTACGATTGGTCCACGTTGCAGTATCTCGTTCGTCGAGCAGATTCTAATCCGACGGTTATCGTAAGAATACGACAATCGCCACGTCAGCGTTTCTGGATTTCATCTGGCGTATAGCGTACGCCACGTGGCGTCGTCATGACACTTTCGCACAGGTTGCTCAAAGTTGACGGAAATGTTGCTTTACTGTATACTTGGTCAGTTGCCCCCATGTGTACAGTTTGAGACGGAAGAGTGACTCGGAAGTTGCTTTGTAAGTGACTGTCGCCATGCAGTTCTAAAACCTTGACTCAAAAGTGCCGGGCAAAAAATATCGGGGAAGTTGAGGAAGAGTGTATTTTGAGTTGCTTTCCGAACTTCCCATTTTCGCGATGTCAGGATTTGAAAGAGGTGATTTTTGAGTCGACTCAAAAGCATCGAACGGGCGGGAATGCGCCGCTAGTAATGCACGTGACTTGGTAGGCGAGTGCCGCGTGGCAGAGGACTTGAAAGAGTGGTAAGTCACGAGGAGCAGACCGAGCGTCGCGACGAAACAGCGCGCCGCTAAGAATAGTCTATCTCGATGCTTGAGCTGCGGCAGGGCAACGAAAGAGGTATTCACCAGGTGACGCGGCGAAAGGCGCGCTTGGCCACCCTTCGGCCCGCTATGCGGAGCACCGACAACGATCATTGTGACGAGGGTTTGTTTTCGTGAACTGCACGGAAGGTCTCAGTACTAACTCTCCGTGGAAAGTCTTGTGCTGGTTGCGTCACGGCGAAATTGTTTGGGCCACCAAAAGTGGCCATAGTAGCTTGTATTATCTTTGGGGGGCGAGGACGTAGCAAAGCAGACGAGACAACTGAGCTGAGTCAAGAATGCGCCATCAGCCGACCATGTCAAGGCACTCACGACTCGAGTCGCGACGATACCGTATGATATCTCGAACATCATCTGTCGTGGAACAGCAGATTTTGACAGCAGCAATAAAAGCGCCATGCTAGAAACGGGGGCTCACACAGTTCAAAGGTCAAGGCTCAAGCGGAATCGCAGAGGGGCCTAACCATCGTGGCTGCGAGCAATCCATCGTCGCCAGGAATCTGGTTACCACACCCATCCGACAGATTTTCTTGTAGAAGGGGCCAGCACCACGCATCAATAGATCCACCTGGAACCAGAATTTGTCGCATGGCACGCTCTCTGGCCTTGAATGTGATAAGGGCGATCCGTTTGGCCAACGCGACTCGAGGGTAGGGTGTGCTGGTTGGCGAAGGAGGGGGTGCCGAGCCCGTGGGTGACGACGGCGATGAGGTGACGTCAATCACAACGCCCAATCACACGAGGAATGTACTCGAGTCGGCTTTTTCTTCGCGATTCGGCTCTCCGGATATGCGCTTTGTTTAGCAAGCAACCATCCTGGTAACCGTCTTGATAAAGATTGTCGAAATTCGCAAGATCTTCGCACCAGGAAACAAAGTTGCTCAACGAAAGATAACAAGTGCCTCAGCCCCCTGTCCAGAGTCACCCTTGTTTGTGTCAACCATCTCGAGTGACACCGGTTGTGCACCACCACAACTCCGTATTGAGTATCACGCTTCTTCATACTATTTTTTTTACGATTTCGGAAGTTCACAATAGTTTGTTTCGAAAGACTCCTATCGCTAGGAGCCACTATTGACCTGCCAAGATGATGGACGCATAGCTTTAATTTTAGAGGAGTTTCACCATCATTAGGAGCTGCTAGGGATACGTCATCATTGCGTGAGATGTCGACAGTATCGTATTAGTAACACCGTCATGGCCTAACAATTGTACGTTTGGACGCATGCGAGTTGTAATCTGGATATGACATGACAAAGTTTCTTCACGAAGAAAGAGAATGATGGCGCTCCTCCCCCGCCGTGCACTATCCTATCCATGTGGTCATCATGAGCGCCACTATCAATGCCGATCTCTTCACCTCGTGAGTTACCAATGTTACTAATAAATCATGTTATTTCGCGTGTTATCGTTGCCCCTGTAAGGGTAAATAGAGAGAGCCAAACAGATGCTCTCATCCCCCATTGTGCATGCCCGTATTCGCGTGGTCATTATGAGCACAACCATCAAAGCTGATCTCTTCACCTCGTAAGTGACTGCTGTTTATAGTGGACCCCTTACTTCGTGTGCCACCGTCATCTCTTTAGCGAGTTGCCACTCCCCTTGTTGGGCTCGCTCAGATGAGCCAAGCCAAGCAACATTGGCATGGTCATCATGAGTGCTACCGGTGATGTGGCTCTTTTCTCCTTGTGAGTTACCATTTCCCCTTTACCCTTGCCCATCTTCGGGCAGCCGGAGTGAGCCAGACGGATGGTGCTACATGCAAACTATAAATGTGTACCCTTGTAAATGCTACCTCACGTGCGCTCATACACACTTACATGTCTTAGTTTGACAATTCACCGATATAAGTTCCCTTCCGTAGAAAGTGTACGTTGAGGTACCGCTTTATGCGGCTATCACATGTGTAGACATTCCGGTACATAGAATAGAGATACCGTCCTTGCTGTTGAAGGAAGTATCACGTATTGCAGGATAGGGCCTATGCTATGCGTTTAGTCCCCACTTGTGTGTTTTCTAGTATCACAGTATCAGCTAAGCAAGCTAGCTAACAGACTAGTGGGATATGGCTGATCACATCATGGTGAGATATAGTAGGTGCATATCTTGGCGTACATGAGTTGGAGGCAGGACAACAAAATGAATATCAAACCAGAGCAGGAGTGCAGTTGCACATCATGGTGTACATGAGTTGGTGCTCTACCCAGAGTATGGGGCACGAACACCTCTTAGTCTTATCCATGTAGATGCTCGACAGTGTACACCACTACACCACACACCACCGCATCCGTGTCTGC